TTTAAAATTAGGTGGTCATGGTGTGCTTACCAGGAGGGTGAGGGAATGAGGCTTCTGGACAGGCAGTAGTAACAGCCTCCAATGGAGCACTAACTGTATGCTGGGCATCTTAATATACTACTACAGCATAGCAACAGTGGGGTTCCTAATTTATTTTTATTTTTTAAAATATGCATTTATTTATTTATTTTTTTAGAGAGAGGAAGGGAGAGGGAGAGAGAGATAGAAACATCAACAAGAGCCCTGGCCGGTTTGGCTCAGCGGTTAGAGCGTCGGCCTGCAGTCCGGAGAGACCCGGGTTCGGTTCCCGCTAAGGGCATGTACCTCGGTTGCAGTTTGTCCCTGGCCCTGGTTAATCGTGCGGTGGCAGCCACTCGATGTGTCCCTTTCACGTCGATGTTTCTCTCTCTCTTCCTCTCTCTCCCTCCCATTCTATCTGTACAAAAAATGGAAAAATGTCCTCGGGTGAGGATGAAAAAAAAAAAGAAACATCAACAAGAGAGAGACATCAACATCCATTGGCTGCCTCCTGCATGCACCCTGCAGGGGATCGAGCCTGCAACCCAGGCATGTGCCCTGACCAGAATCGAACCTGGACCTCTCAGTCCAGGGGAGACACCCAAGCCACTGAGCCACCCTGGCAGGGCAGAGGAGGGTTCCTATTTTATAGCTAAGGACAGACTCAGGGAGATGAAATGACTTTCCAGAGGTCACCCAGCTGTTAAGTGACAGAGTGGGGATTCAAACCCAGACCTATGTGACCCAAGAGGGTTGTCCTAAGTTGCCACCCCGTCACCTGGCAGATGCTGTTGCAACCATGGACCTGGTCACTGGGACTCGGTGGGTGACTCCACCTGTGTTCCCAGCAAGGGAGTGGGGCTGGATTATTCTCCGGCCAGAGCCTTGCTCGCAGGCTGCCGAGTACACCAGCCTCACAGGAAGAGGATGAATCATAGCAGAGTGCCAGCTTAGTCACCAACCCCTGCTGGTGTCAGCATCATCTGAGATGTTCAACTGCCCCATCCCCTTTCCCTGCCCTCCCAATCAGGGCTGCTAAACGTAGCAGTGCACATGGGGGTTGTGCAAGGGTGCCTGGCTGTGGGGTGAGTCGGAGTAAAATGTGCTCTGCTTGCCAAGTTGTGTGTCTGGCAGGCGCTGTATCTGCCCAGAGGATCCTGCAGCTGCACCTTGTCCTAATGTGTGCCCAGGCACTGGAGTGGGATGCAGTTGGGCCAGAAGTTCACACATGGGCAAATACCTTGGGTGAGGTCACCTTGCTGAAGGCCATCTTCTGCCCAGGAAGGGGCCTCTGCCTCCATGGGGAATTCCTGTGAGGTGGACAGGAACCCTTGGTCCCCTGAAGCCTGTCTGTGCCCCTGACACCATCCCCGGGCTGTGGGGGGCTCTGTAGAACTGCTGTGAAGAGCAGGTATTTGGGCCACCATGGGGCTGATGTTCTGGTCCCACCTCTGCCTTATTCTGTGTACTTCAGAAACTCACTTCGCCTCTCCTGACCTCACTTCCCTCATCTGTAACACCTCCCAGCTGACCCCAAAGCTGACCCCAAAGGTTGGGCAGTGGCATCCTGTTCCTTGTTCTGAGCCTGTGTTTTCTGAAATACAGGCTTTTTGAGGGCTGATGATGATGATGACAACAGCCAACATTTTTTTTTTTTTATTCTCACCTGAGGACATTTTTGCATTTATCTTCAGATAGAGAGGGAGGAAGAGAGAGAGAGAAACATCAATGTGAGAGAGACACATTGACTGGTTGCCACCCACACAACCCCAACCAGGACAAACTGCAACTGAGGTACGTGCTCTTAGTGGGAACCGAACCCAGGACTCCCTGGTTCGTGGGCCAGTGCTCCAACCGCTGAGCCAAACTGGCCAGGGTGACAGCCAACATTTTTTGAGGCCTCCTGTCGACCAGGCTATATGTGACTTGAAGTGTGTGTGTGTGTACGATCTCTCAGCAATCCTTGAGGTGGGCACTGCTATTATCTGTTTTCATAGGAAGAAACAGGCCAGAAATTAATTGCTCAAGATCCCAGAGTTAGAAAGTAGTACCTGTTGCTGTGGCCCTCCACTGCGGCTGGTTTGCCTCCCACAGTGTGTGCATGTGTGAGAGGAGGGAAAATACAAATAGACACACATACACACGTGCACATAGCCCAGCCCTAAGGAACTTATCATTTGGGTCAGAGTGTAATTCAGTCTTGATTTCCCAATGGTTTGGTGGGAGGTTTTCTCAGTAGACCTGAGCCCCAGGCACTGTGAGACCTACTCTGCCCTTTGTAGATGTGTGACCTGGAAAACTTCACAGCACCACCCTGAGCCTCAGTTTCCTCATTTGCAAATGAGATTATAATACATACCTCTTGAGGTTTGGAGGGGCCGCATGGTCCTGGGGGTGTTGTGAGTGACTCATAAAGGAAAGCTGTTATCAGTGTGATTTGTTGGGAGGAAACTTTTGTAAGTGATTAGGAGGGGCTCTAGAGCCATTCTGCCTAGTTTCTAAGCCCAGCTCCACTGCTTTCTGGTGGCATGACATTGACTAAGTCACTTCACTTATTGGAGCCTCAGTGCCCTCTTCTGTAAAGGCATAATAGGTCCTGCCACATAGGTTGTCCTGAGATGATGCATTTATAAAGCTTTTAACCTATTGCCAGTAGGTAGTATGTGCACAATAAATCAAGTAATAGGTACATTCACCGAGCACTTGCTCAGTGCTGGGCATCATTAGTGTCATTTGTATTGCTAGTACTCTTTTGTTAATAATTCATTTGGAGTAGCAAACTTATATCTACCACTCCCCAATCAGGCAACCAGTCAGACCTACCACTTCATTCCTACAGTGAAAGTAGCGGCCTAGAGAGGGGAAGTGACTTGTCTAAGGTCACATAGCTGACTGCTCAGTGCCTGGCATGGTTTTGTCCAGTCTGCTGCAGAACCACTGTTTCATCTCAGTCTCCTGGAGGGATACCCCTTCCTTTGCCCCTCCCCTCCCCATTACTCTCCAGAGCCAGCAGCTCCTCAGAGCTTCAAGCTTCGTGAATGGCTTGGTTTAGCTCTCAGCCATTAAACGTTCATCTCTTACAATTTCAATCCAATTCCTATAAGTTTATTGGCAAGATGGGGTGTATTAGAGCTGCCAAATTTAATATATCAAGTCCGTGTGTCTGGGATGCGGTTTCTCAGCAGTAACAGGAGAAAAGAGAGGTTTTATATGTTTTCATTTTGAATGACTGCCTGTTCCTAATCCCATTACAGCCCTTGACTTAATGGCTGCTGTCCCTGTCTGCCGCTGCAGCAGGAGTAGCTTTCTCCATCACCCCGCATGGCTTCCTGGACTGTCCAGGGTGCTTGTTTGTCTTCGTGTCTTTCTGCAGTCTCTTTACAAGATGCATCTCCCCATCTGTCTGCCCTGTGGGTCAGGTCCCAGCTTTATCTTTATTCGCCAGATCCTGGGGGTCTGAAGCTTTTGCTGCTAGCCTGAGCTACCTCACGACCTTGGGGAAGCCACCTGTCTTTGTCCTCTGGGCCTCAGAAACTTGCTCTGTGAAATAAAGGGTCAGAATATAGGACCTGAAGGGTGAGGGGCTTGTCTGAGCTTAGCCTGTACAGATCCTACTTGATGGCCCCAGTGGATTCTGTCCTCCTCTGGTCTTGTGGCACCAAACTGGGAGATGCAGGGGTTGGCCATAAGAGTCATAGAATCACCCCCTGCCTTGGGCTGCAAATCTTCTGGGTCAGGGGTGGCAGCTGTGGTCACCGTGGCTGAAGGATCGTAAGAGTCTGGCTTCTCTAGGCATTGAGCCAGCTGTGGAAGAGAGGATACATGGCAGCTGCATTTTAGGGGACCTGGGTTTACCTTCTGCTTACCAGCTCTGTGACCTTGGGCAAATCCTCTTTCCGAACCTCAGTTGTCCCTTAAGGAAAATGGGAATTAATTTGTTTATTCAGCAAGTATTTGGTTGTCTGCTGTGTACCATGAACCACTTTGGGTGCTGGAGCTTCAGTAATAAACAAAATAAAAATATCCCTTCCTGTGTGGATTTATCTTCCTACTGGGAGAAAAAGATAGTAAATGTAACAAGTAAGTTATTACTTCAAAGGTGATAAAAATGAAGCAGGGAATGGGGAAAGCTAAGTGGAGGGTGGCGGGTTCTGCAATTTTAAATAAAGTGGTCACGGTAGCTTACTGAGAAGGTAGTATTTGAGCAAAGATTGAAGGAGTCAAGTGAGCGAGCTTGGCAGGTACCTGGGGGAGAGCATCCAGGCAGGGGATGCACAGACCTGCCGGGAGGTGGTCGTGGGCCTGGTGTGTTTGAGGAGCAGAGAGGAGGCCTGTGTGGCCAGCATGGAGAGAACAGTTGGGAGGAGACAGACATGTGGAGGGTGGCAGCCGGTAGAGGGTGTAAGGTGGTGGTTCCCTGGCTCAATATGAAAATTTTCTGGGGAGTTTTAAAACATGCTGATGTGCCCTGGCCTGCAGTTAGAGTATCAGCCCGCTGACCAGAGAGTCCCGGATTTGGTTCCCGCTAAGGGCACGTACCTCGGTTGCGGTTCATCCCCAGCCCCGATTAGAGTCATGCGGGTGGCAACCAGTTGATGTGTCTCTTTCATATCAGTGTTTCTCTCATTCTTCCTCCCTCTCACTCTATCTGAAGATAAATGCAAAAATGTCTTTGGGTGAGGATAAAAAAATAATTTAAAAAATGCTGATGCCTGGGCCTCACCCACTCTGGTTCTGCCTCAACGGGCCTGGGGTGGAGGCTGGGCATGAGAATTGTTAAAAGATCCCTCTGAAATGAGGCCTGTGTAGCTCCTCATGGGCTCCTGTGAGTTCTAAGTGAGGTGGTGCCTGTATAGAATGTCTTCCTCACACAGCACAGGCCTTGCCCTCAGGGAGTGCTCAGTCGGGGTGGTATGCCGTGGCCTTTGCTGTGTGGCCTTTCCTCCATGCTCTGATTGAGTGCTTTGTGGCTTCCCACACAGTGACAACACCTGGCACAGGTGGCCATGGGGAAGCGTTACTTCTGCGACTACTGTGACCGCTCCTTCCAGGACAACCTCCACAACCGCAAGAAGCACCTGAATGGGCTGCAGCATCTCAAGGCCAAGAAGTCCTGGTACGACATGTTCCGAGGTGGGTGCCCACTGGCTTGGCCGCCAGGCTGATGGAGCCCTGCTCTTTGCTCTTTCTTATCATCAGACAGGGAAGCACTGTGGGCCAGTGGCCCCTAGCACAGATGGGCCCTCAGAAGGTCAGACTGGAACATGAGCTCTTTTCCCCAGCAATCTGGACTGAGAGCTCAGTTCGCAGATGCCTTGCAGGCTCCGTGGTCAGGAAGAAAGCCTCTCCAAGGAGGTGGTGTTTGAGCCAAAAGCTGAAAGAGGGAAAAGCCAGCCACATTATTCTGGGCAGAGGACATGCAGAAGCAGGCAGCCATGAGCAAAGCACCAGGTGCTCTTAGAGCAGAAGAGGGTGTGGCTGGACACAGCAGGAGAGAAGAATGGTAGGGGATAAAGCTGGTGGCAGGGCAGGGGCCAGCTCATGCACCACTGTGGAGGCCACAGTCGGGGATGGGTTGTCCCGAGGGCAGAGAGTAGTCTCTGAGGGGTTTTAGGCAGCAGCCAATGTGACCAGAGCTACATTTGACAGTGATAACTGACTGCTTTGTAAGCAGTGGGGTGCGGTGAATGGCTGTTGAATGACTGGCTAGATGGATGGCTGAATAGCCAAGCTTCTTCTGGGAAAGGCTTCTCAGAGCGGGTGTGACTGGGGTGAATGAGCTAAGGCCATAAGCAACTAGCACAGGGCCTGACATGTGGGGGCACTCACTATAGGGGAGCTACTCTGCACTAGACATTAGACACACACACTGAGCAAGAGTGAGGAAGGGGCCAGAAAGTGGCCAGCTAGGAGCCAGATCAAATGGAGAGGGAGCTTGGCAGTGTGGCGAGGGGGACCAAGAGCTCCTAGAATGAGCAGGGGCAGGTCCGATGTGCATTTGGACCTGGGGAGCAGGATTCAGGGACAGGGCTCAGAGCCTGGAAGAAAAGAGCTGAGTCCCAGCAGCTGAGAAGGAAGAAGGTGAGACAGAGAGAGTTCCCTAGTCTGACTCAGAATTTACAAGAAGGGACTGAGCATTTATTGGGTGCCTTCTGCATGCCAGGTGTCTTCCATGTTTTGTCATTTGGTTTTTTTAGTAATTCTTTAAGGCAGCGGATCTCAACCCTTGGAGTTAGGATCGCCTAAAGACCTTGAAATAAAAAAATGGTGATCCCCTAGTGCATCCCCAGAAGCAGGTTTGGGGTGGGGCCCAGGCATGGTATTTTGAAAGCTCTTCCTGATTCTACCCATTTCAGAAGAGGCTCACAGGCTTGGATGAGGGAGGGTGGCCAGGCTGCTCAGCAGACTAGACTTGGTTATGGCAAGGGTCTAGGAGTGGGGACAGAAGGGTCCCCTAGGTGCCTGGGAGGCCTCTGACCCTGGTGTCATGCAGAGATGCCCTGTCCCCCAAATCCAGCAGGGGCTGTGATCTGGCATGGAACTGGGCCTCAAGACCACCCTGGTGTTTGCTCCCAGTCCCAGACTCAGCCGAGAACAGCCGGGTCCTGGGAGCCAGGGCTGATCTGCAGAGACTGTTGTGTTACTTATAAAAAAGATGAAACAGGTGAATCCCTGCTCAGGGCTCCTGCATTCCCAGCCTCCTCTCACATCCCCACCCACATTCAGTCCCTAGAACAGACCTGTGAGGGAGCCTGGCCCAGCCAAGGGATCTCACTTCAGGTGGTACCTTTGAAAACCAAAGCAGTGGATCGCCTACCCCGGGTCCCTAAGTTGGTATACCAGCTCTTTCCTCTTTCCTTTGTTTTTTTTTATCCTCACCCGAGGACATTTTTCCATTTTTTTGTTCAGGTAGAGTGGGAGAGAGAGAGAGGAACAGAGAGAGAGAGAGAAACATCGACGTGAAAGGGACACATCGAGTGGCTGCCACCCGCACAACCGACCAGGGCCAGGGACAAACCGCAACCGAGGTACGTGCCCTTAGCGGGAACCGAACCCGGGTCTCTCAGGACCGCAGGCCGACGCTCTAACCGCTGAGCCAAACCGGCCAGGGCTTTCCTTTGTTTTAAGTATGTTTTTATTGATTTTTTAGAGAGGAAGGGAGAGAGAGATAGAAACATCGATGTGAGAAACACCACTTAGCTGCCTCCTGCATGCCCCCCACTGGGGATTGAGCCCGAAACCCAGGCATGTGCCCTGACCAGGAATCAGACCAGGACCCCTCAGTCCATGGTATGACACTAGTCCACTGAGCCACACCAGCCGGGCTCTTTTCCCTTTCTTTAGAGGCTTCCCAGGGCTCCAGCTTACCCAAGTAACCACACAGCATAGACTTTGGAGGGGCGTACCTCGCCTGGGCTAGGACTTAATTCTTGATCTGCTCCCAGCTTCAAGTCCTTTAACCCTCAGAGGGCTGACCATCCATCTGACATGGTCAGGACAAATGCGGACCATGGAGCTAGGCTGCCTGGGTGTCAGTCCTAAGGTGTCACTCACTAACATTGTGGCCCTAATTTAGTCATGTGTAAAACAACCATAACAGTGGTACCCACCTCCCAGGGATGTGATGGACACAGTAATCTCATGATGACTGTGTGGCATTAAGGGTTCACTAAGTAGGAATGATACCTGTGGCTTCACAAAAGGAGTGGCCTCAAGCCCTTTATCTCCTGGTCTCATTCATTCAGCCATCGCCCAGTAAGCACTTAGCATGTCCTCAGCTCCCAGTCAAGCTCTGAAGACTTACAGGTGAATTAAACAATGAGTCCCCTAAGTGACCTCACATCCAGTTACAGCAGCATGTTCTGGGTGAAACCCCTGTCCTACCCAGTCCTCCATGCCCTACCGACCTCTCCCTCCGAGCTCTAGTCACACTGGCCACTGCAGTTACTGTACCCTCTGCAGGCATGCTCCTCCTGCTGTCTTCCCCATCCCCCCTGGCCCCCCATATCAACTCAGACAGAGTCCTCCAGGATCCTCTCCCCACCCCCTGGGCCAGGTCAGGTCATTTGGCCTCATGCTGTTTACCCCGTTTATATCCACGTGGATTAGTGTGACTGTTGGACTGGAAGGAAGGACCAGGTCTGACTTGTTCTCCACTAAATCCTCATCCTGGCACGGTGCCTGGCACACAGGACGTGCTCCGTAAATGTTTGTTAGATGAATGTCTAAATGAACAAGCAAACAGACATAAGGCACCAGGGCAGGTGTTAATATTGGGAGATGAAGCGAGAAGGACCAATGGGGTCAGATCCCGAGGAGCCTTGAACACCATTTGGAGGAGTATGGGCTTCTTTGTGCAGGGCCTGGGTCTAGAGTTCTCAGCACTGGGTGTACTTCAGAGTCACTAAGGAGATTTTAACAATTTTTGTACTCTCCCCACTAGACAAATTAAAGCAGAACCTGAGAAGGATGGGTTTTGGCATCTGTGTACTTTAAGCTGCCCGATGATTCTGTCTTGTTGCTGCAGTTGAGAACCCCCAGCCAGATGCTGGGCAGCCTGGAAGTCTTCTCCCAATACTGAGCTGCCCAGCCAGAGTCCCTTGTGTAGGCTCGCCATCCTGCCAGCCTCAGCTGTCTTACCCCCAGGGGGCCCTGGGCAATGTCCACGTGCCCTCCACCAGTCCACCCCACTGGGAAGTTGTGTGGCATCAGCTGGCTGGGCTGAGTCTGACAAGCCCAGTGCTGACAGATGGACCCCTCCCCACTCTGCTGGTCCAATCCACATTCCCCCAGGCCACCCTGGAGTGAGTCCTCTGATAACCAACTCCTGACTCCAGCAGCCCACCCTTCCCCCAGCCACCAACTTCTCCGGGGAAGGGAGGTGCCCTCATTAGAACTGGCTACTCACCCAGACACCAGGAGATCAGCAGCCACACAGGAAAGGGTGTGGGCTTTAGACTCACAGACTAGGGTTCAAACCTGCACTGCCACTTCCTGACCTTGTGCCCTTTCCCCCTTTCTGAACCTCAGTTTTCCCCTCTGCAAAATGGGGGTGTTAGTACTATTCAGTGGGTTTGTGAGGAGGAAATGATATCAGAACTGCTACCATTTGTTAACCATCCACTATAGAGGGTCTCTGTCTGGGTTGCACATTCGCGTCACCCAGGGAACACGGTGCTGAGGCTACTCCCAGCCTCACTTTCCCAGCAGTCAGGTGTAGGAACCACCGGCCGTCTCTGCCAAGTGCTGTCTATCCATCATCTAGTTTCACAGCAGTCTTACCAGGTGAGAATTTCCCCCCATTTTACATGTGGGAAACAGACCTAGAATGATTAAGCAGCTTGCTTGTGGTCATGTATACCTGGACTCCGAAGCCCGTGGTCTTCCCTTACCTCAGTGGCCTTTGGAAAAGGCAGTGAATGAATGGGGAAGTGCCCAGCCCAGAGTGACTTCTCTCTCCTCCAGGGTGACATGAGGGCCTCTGAGTCAGGGCACCTTCTTCACATGCCTTGCTCACAGATTTTGACTAATTGATTCCTTGCCTACCGAGAAGCACACAAAACAAAGGTTAAAAAAAAGAAATCAGTCCAGCTGCTGTGGCTCAGTGGTTGAGCATCAACTCATGCACCAAGAGGTCGCTGGTTCGATTTTCAGCCCAGGACACATGCCCAGGTTGTAGGCGCGATCCCCAGTGGGGGACATGCAGGAGGCAGTCATTCGATGTTCTCTCTCATCGATGTTTCTGTCTCTCCCTTTCACTTCCTTTCTCTCTAAAATCAATAAAGAAAAAAAAAAAAAAAAACCCAGAGGAAACCAGGGTTAAGGTATCATCATATCCAGATTGTTGCCAAGTCCTGTCAAGACTGGTGACTGGTCTGGCGCTGAGAGCCCGAAGCTGGTGTAAGGAGGGGAATAGAGAGCAGTATTTTGCAACCTTGGCTCTGGAGCAGTGCCTGGGCCCTGGGGTTTACTGCTGAGCTTCCTGGGCACCAGGAATTTTTTTTTTTTAGCTTGCTATTTTGAAATAATTATAGATTTACAGGAAGTTGCAAAGACAGGGCAGAAAAGTCTTGTGGTAGCAGGATTAAGAAAACACACCAAAAACTCCTAGGTGATTCCATTATACAAAGTTCAGAACCTCTGACATAAAACCTGGTCCTTGCCCTTGGTTGGATCCAGTTGGGATGGGAGGGGTTGACGTCAGCCGAAGCTTGGATCTCTCTGCCCAGCATCCCCATCTGTGTTCATCCCCTCTTACACTCCTTTATGGATGGGGAGCTCTTCCGGCTCCTGATTTCAGGAAGTACCTGTGTGCAGCTCAGGTCTGAACCCAGCCTCTCTCTCCTTTCACAGATGCAGCTGCCATCTTGCTGGATGAACAGAACAAACGGCCCTGCAGGAAGTTTCTGCTGACAGGTAAAGTGTTCTACTCAGTTCAACACCCCCCCCCCCCCCAAGAGACCAGCATGCCCAGTCCCACCTGCTTGACCTCTGCAGAGCCTCTCCCCGACCCACCATCCTGAACCCACTTTGTGGCCTTGGCACCTCAACCCGCTGATCGCTGATCAGTAGGGGCCTTCCCCGGGTTGTGCCTTAGGACTTCTGGGGGCTTGTCCTCAGTTCTTCAGACCTAGAATGTGATTTTATCAGCTCACCCAGAACAAGCAAGCACTGGGAGATTGCAAGTAAACCCAGGAGACACTGATGGGTGTAATAGACTGCAGACTAAGTTAGCCTGGAGCGCAACCTCCGCTGTGTCCTCCCTCTTAGCAGGCAGGGCTGGAGAAGTAACGGGTCTGACAGTGCCGAGGAGGTTCAGAATTAGAACCAAGGATGCAAGGTGTTGATTTGACTGCTCAGTACCCACCTAATAAAAAGCAGATGAAAATAAGAGTAGGAAAAATAAGACAAAGCTAGGAGAATTAGTCTCCTCCATGCTTGCCTTGAGGTCCTCTGTACTCTCTAAGGGGTTGGCCCTGAGCTTCCTAGCAGCCAAGGCAAAGATGAAAACAGTGGTGAGTAACATGGTGTGTAAGGGGATTTAGCACTGGGGGGAGGTACTGCTGTTGACATAGACAAGCTAGGTGAATGGCCACATTCCCTCAGGAGGTGGTGGTGTCCCTAGAATGGGCACCAGGCCTTCAGAACAGGGACTTCCCAAGGAATTCACCCTGAAGAGAATATGTCACTGGTAGGTTGCACTGGTCTGGGATACCTCCAGTCTTCTGTTATTTTGAGACACATTTTGGTCTTCTCAGTTGAGGTTCAGAAAGCCACCCTGGACTTTGTACCTCCTTTAATGGTACAAAGCTACCATTAAAGCCTTTCTGGGGAGCAGTGCAGCTGCTCAGGTGAGCCAAACAAGCAGACAGGCCACCAGGCAGAGGGCGCGGCACAGGTGGGCCTGGAGTAGAGATAGGAAGCATGACCTTTTCAGGGACCCACATGTAGTTTGCTGAGGCCGGGACCACGAGGGGGGTGACAAGCCTGCAGAGGCTGTGCAGCCTAATCACGAAAGGCTTCAGTGGGATTTGATCCCCAGCCAGAGAAGGGTTGTGATGGGGCATGACAGACCAGAGAGGTTGCTCTGGTTGCTCGTGTAGGCAGGGCCAGAGAGTGTCAGGTTTTTTCTTCAGGGGTGGGGTTGCTCTCTTTAATCCCTGAAGTCTTGCCCCTAAAACTCCAGTGACTCCTCAGTCCACAGCAGGAGCCCTGCCAGAGCAGTGAGTAACTCTGTCTTCCCTTGCAGGCCAGTGTGACTTTGGCCCCAACTGCAGATTTTCTCACATGTCAGAGCGAGACCTGCAGGAGCTAAGCATCCAGGTGGAGGGTGCGTTTTGGTTGGGACCAGGGGCTGGGGTGGGCTGCTGGGGGGAGTGTGCAAGATCTGAGGCCAAGGAAGCTGCCCTGTACCTCTTTACCTCCCTGTCTTTTACGGTCATCTTGTGGGTAGGCCGAGGGCTGTCCGGGGTGATGAGTTGGGGGTCAGAAACTGCCTCCGAACTGCCGAGGCATGAGTGGAGAAGGAGCAGGGGAGCTCCTATCTGTGTCCCCTGCTGGTTTAAAGTGAAAGGCATGGCCCAGGCGGTGTGACCCAGTGGTTGAGCGTCAACCCATGCACCAAGAGGTCGCCAGTTCTGTTCCCGGTCAGGGCATATGCCCGGTGGGGGGTGTGCAGGAGGCGGCCAGTTGATGTTCTCATTGATGTTTCTATTTCTCTCTCCCTCTGCTTTCCTCTCTCTCTAAAATCAGTAAATCAATAAAGAAAAAAAAATAAAGTAAAAGGCATGGGTATACCTCAGCCCCACCAGGGCTCTGCTGCTAACCTGGCATTCATTCACCTATGTACTCCCTCCCTCCCTCAATCAGACAACATCTATGGAGCCCCTACTGTGCTTTGGGACAGGAGGATGAAGAGAGCAGCTTGCCTGCCCTGAGGATTCTCAGGCCTCATGGTTCCAGGGAAGAACAGGTTCCCTGGAATCTGGCACATCTGCCTTTGGGAAATTCCCTTCTCACTTCTCCAACTGGAGAACAAGGAAGTTCTCACTTAGATGGTCTTTGTTGATCTTCTCATGCAGCCCCTCACAGAACAGATGGAGAAACTGAGGCCAGCACTCAGGCAGAAGGGCCTCATGTGAGCCCGCGGCAAGTTAGAGGCCAACTTGAGTCTCCCAGGGTGCTGCTGCCCTCACTGTTCTGGTGGTCTTGGGGCAGCCAGAGTGTGTGTAGGGGAGCCTGACCTTTATCCTTGTCTCCAATCAGACCTTGATGGCAGTGTCCTGCCCTGGGGAGCTGATGGCAGTGTGGCTGCAGCCCTGGCAAACACAGGGTTTCCAGGAGCTTTCCCAGACCAGCAAGTCCTGGCCACGGCAGTATCTCTAGTTTTTCACTGGCCTGGGCTCTCAGGGAATTGTTGGTCCATGGTGGGGAGAGCACAGGCCAGTGGGCCTGAAGCTGGAGACGATACCTAGTAGAGACAGGGATGGGAGAGGCTCAAGGGGGCCAGGAGCAGAGGCGTGCCCCCAGCTGGCTCTGCCACATCCCTTGTGACCTTGGCACTCTTGACCTGTCAAACATGACCGCTGTTGAAGATGGAGTGAGACGATGCATGTGCAGTGCTAGCTTAGGGCCTGGGCCAGAGTAAGCGTTGGTCCTCTAGTGTGATTGTTTTCCTCTGGCCCCAGGCTGCATCCCAAACGCCCCCCTGCCAAGACTCTGACCCCATCTCACACCCAGCTTGTTTGAACTCCATCTGTTGCTCGGTTTTAATTCAGTGAGTAAAGTTTTTTATAGAACATTTTTTTTAAGTGTTTTTATTGGTTTTAGAGAGAGAGGAAGGGAGAGGGAAAGAGAGAGAAACATCTATCAGTTGCCTCCTGCCCACCCCCTACTAGGGATTAAGCCTGCAATATGGGCATGTTCCCTGATCAGGAATCAGACTAGCGACCTCTTGGTGCATGGGATGATGTTCAACCAACTGAGCCACACTGGTCAGACTTTATAAGACATTTTATGAGAAGAAAAATCAGGAAAGCTGAGGCTTCTTTTCTTGCCCAGAGTTAGAGACCTGACAAGTGGCAGAGCCAAGATTCAGATCCTACTCTGCCCTGTTCTGCAGTCTACGTGGCCTCCCTGAACCCAGATTTGGACTCTTTCTGAGGACCAGGCTCTCTACAGGCATTATCCTGTGTTCAGCTCTAAAAACCTTGGGAGGCAATCACTATTTTATCTCCATTCAATGGGCAAGCAGAGTGAGGCCCAAAGCGGCAGTCCTGGGGAGGTGGCAGCATGGTGGGGACTATCCAGAGGCTCTGCTCCTGGCCTCCCAGGCTTCGCCCTCCCAGGAAGATTCTGGCTGTGTTGTGGGAGGCTGGGATTCAGGTGGGCGTGAATGCGTCCCTCACTTGTCTCTGTCTTCCTACCCCTACAGAGGAGAGGAGGGCCAGGGAGTGGCCTGTGGACATCACTGAAATTCCTGAGGGCCATCTGGAGGACTGGCTGGAGAAGAGAGCCAAGCGGCTGAGCTCAGCCCCAAGCAGCAGGTACAGGCCCATGAGTCCCCTTCTCCTCCCTCCAGGAACTGCCCTCCAGGAACAAGACGCCCAGCCAGCCTGCCCTGACCTGAAGCTGAACAATCTCCATGAACTGCCCAGGCCTAGGCACCAGATAGGGACTCTCCCTCCCCCAGCAGAGCTCCCCAAAGGACCAGATCAAGGGCTCTTGGGTCCCCAAGTCCTGGCCAAAGGCTGAGGGACACCCCTTTGAAAATTCCTTTTCCTGGGCCTCATCCCCCTGCCTTTGTGGCTCCTACTCCATTAGAGTCCGTGCTAGTGGAAGAGAAGGCCAAGCCTACTTGACTCCACATCACCAGCTCCATTTCCAGAGGTACTGAGTCCCCAGTGTACCAGTCACTGCTGTGTTCCCTCCAGGGTCCTACCAGATGGGCATAGTTACCTGACTCTTCAGAAGGGCAAGTGAGGTTCACAGGAGGGTGTGACTTGCCCAAGGGCACATGGCTAGGAAGAGACAGAGCTGAGATTGCCCAGGGTTGTAAAAACAGGCTTATTGTCATTGTCCCAGGCTTCCCTGTGGAGGGGCTACTTGCCTGCACCCAGCACTCAGGATGCTCAGAAGTGGATGGGGCACCCTTCACTTCTTGTATGGGGAGCACCCTGATTCAGGAGTCCTCATGTATGTGCTGTGTGTTGTCCCAGGTCCCCCTCTTCAAGCCAGGGCTCTTTACCAGTTATGGAAGGAGAGGGGAGGGAAAGGGGCTAAAGAATGGGCTTATGAACTGCCTATGGCTTTGCACAAGTTGCCCCACCCTGGACCACCTCGCTTCAGACCCAGTCATCTCTGGTTTGGCTTCATAGGACAGTGGCCTGGCCTGGGCCAAGGGAGCCTGGTTGGACAGTCTATCAGATGAGGCCTTCCCCCAGGAGGTGTAGGTCAAGCTTCTTGCTTTCTCTGTGTTCCAATGAAGAGAGCTCTTTAAGCTGTGTTACAATTAACTTTCACTGTTTTTTACCTTTGTTTTAAATCTGTGCCATTTTTGTCCCCGAAAATATATAGTACAGAAATGACTCAAATATGGAGTACGACATCCCTTTCTCCTGGCACTGTCTGAAGTGGTTGTGATTTTGGTCATATGGGTACACCCCTTGTGGCTGGCCGTTGTCATCCAGGGATTTATGTCCTGCACATCAGGCTTCTTCAGCTGGTGGGAAGCCACTCAGAGAGCTCTCCCTCTGGCCACCCACCGTGGCCCCTTCCAGGGGACCTGCTTCTCTGGCAACCACTTATTCTCTATGTCCACATGCCATCCACCTGCCTCCTGAGGGCTTGGAGCCAAAATGAATTACTCTCTGGGCAGAGCAGGTCTGTCCAGCCTTGAGGAAAAAGAGTTGTTAGAAGGGAAATGAACATTTATTATTGCTTTTGCCATTGCTGCCCTCTCCTGCAGGCTGGTCTTAGGAAAAGTGCCACCTGAATCCTGGGCCCGAGAGCTTTGGGCTCTGCCCCTGCAGGGTGGTGGGAGGTGGATTCGAGCTGAGCCCCTCATCAGACGCCTTACTCTGTTGCCCATGTCTCCTACTCTTGAGGCAGCCCTGGAAACAGGCTCTCTGTGACTCTCAGTGCGGCTCTCCTAGATGGCCATAACTGCCCCTCCTGGTCTCCCACCTCCCCTCTGCTCCTCCGTTCGTCCACACAACAGCCCCAACAAGCTTCTGAAACACATGCTGGTCCAGCCCTTGCTTAAACACTCCGAGGCTTCCTCCACCTCAGGTGGAACTTCCTTGCCACCTCCCCGGCCCGTAAGGGTCACCTTCTCACCTCTCCCATCTGGCCTCTGTTATTTTTATTTTATTTTTTTTATCCTCACCCAAGGACATTTTTCCATTTTTTGTTCAGGTAGAGTGGGGGGGGAGGGGGGAGAAACATCTATGTGAAAGGGACACATCAAGTGGCTGCCACCAACACGACCAACCAAGGCCGGGGACAAACTGCAACCGAGGTACGCGCCCTTAGCAGAAACCAAACCCAGGTCTCTTTGGACTGCAGGCTGATGCTCTAACCGCTGAGCCAAACCAGCCAGGGGTGGCCTCTATGTTAGTACCACTGGATGTTTGGCAGCTTCTTAGCTGGTGGGTGTTTCTGAGTTAGGGATACCTTGCGCATGCTCTTTTCCTCGGCCTGTAGCTGTCCCTATCACTCCCCTCGCACCTGGCAAAGTCAGACTCATCCTTCAAGCTCAGCTAAGACATCTCCCTTTTAGCCCCCAGGCCTCCCCCTCCTGGCCCTGAGCTTGCATTGTTGTCATTCAGGCCAGATGACTTGTGGACTGCATGAGAGAGCATTTTGGGGTATAGAGTCCCTAGCCTGGAGGACTGTTTCCTGGGTGCTAGTGCCAGGGGCCACTTGTGTGGACTGGTCTGGTAGACCTTATTCCTTTCTGGGTGTCTGTTTCCTCCCCTGGGGCACAGGGTACAGGTGGCTGCCTGACCTGCCTGGGGCCACCCAGATGTCAGGGCCTTAACCCCACAGACTGAGCAGAGCCACTCCTCCTGTGACATGGGAAATGGAGGCTCTGTGGGGCCCCATTGTGCCATGGTCCTCAGCAGCCTGACCCTGAGGGATCTGCCAAGAGCGGCGGGTGGCGGGAGGGAGAGGCCGGCCTCAGCCAAGTGGACTAATCCCCCAGCGAGGCCAGTGCTTGTCCCTTCCCTCTATTGTTGGCTCTTCAGATTGTGACTTTATCCCTCTTAATCTCCCCCTTTACACCCCTCTCTGGGCTGGTGCTGCTGTGCAGCCACGTACCTTGGCTGGGCAAAACAGAACAGCGGCTCCTGTCCTTGTGCATGGGACAAACAGTCCACGAGAGAAGCCACAAGCAGAGTCATGCCACATGTGCAATTCATTGTCTCCGTCAGCTCTGTGCGGGGCAAGAGGGGTGTGCTTCAAGGGCTCATGGGCTCATGTGCTTAGGGCCTGGGAATGTGCCAGTGTCTGTGAGTACACATGGGGGTGCCCTTCTCCTGGGCTCTGAAGTCCCAGCTGCCCAGTAATCTGCCCCATCTTCTAGAAGAAGGGTCTGAGGCTCATGGGAAGGGGCTCCTCAGGATCATACCCTCTCTGTGGAGAATTGTGGCCACCCTAACCCTGCAGGGAGACCTGACTTGGCTGGCAGCTGGGGATGTCCCTTCCAGCAACTGTGGAGCCTCTCTGACTCCCACCCTTCTCTGCGGCTGCAGGAGTTTATGAAATCTCCCCAGTGCCATAAATCATGCTGGGAGCTGCTTTCTGCGCTTTCCAACAAGCAGCAAGCGGCTGAGCAGGGATTCCCTGTGCTGTCACAACAGGAGGCCCCCGAGGCTGGGCCTGGGCTGCCCAAAGTCCTCAAATAGGCTCTGTGTAGCCGGTCAGGCCCCGAGAGGGCCAGGCTTGGTGGGTGCAGTGAGGCAAACTCCTGAGTCTCCTGCCCCAAGTCTCCAGCTCCACCTCAGAGGCCTGAGTCCTCTCCAAACCTTTCACTGACGGCTGGTCACTGGGCCCCTGAGCCGGCCAGGAGTTGCCAGGGCCTCACCCTCACTGAAAGCTGGGCCTAGGGGTGGGATGGGGTTGGATGCTGCTGGAGCTGAAACTGGGGTGGGGGTATGTGTGTCTGGAGCATAGGTCACATTCCAGCCACTCACCCCTTGTCTTCAGACTGTGTCACTTGGGGGTGTCACTGACTCTGTACACCTCAGTTGCCTCATCTATAAAATGGTGATTCTTAAGATTTCTCTAGGCTGTGGTGTCTAGCCTGGAGTAGTGACTAGTCAGTAACAGCACTCAGCGTTGCTGTTTGTCATCAGCAAACATGCACTAAGCAGCTTCCCTGGGCCGGGCCCATCTCTGGGCACTGGGGGGATACCTTGCCTCTGGTATCTGCCCTGTGAGGGCTCCAATCCCATAGGGAAGACATGAGCCCCCGAGTGAGCTCTCAGAGTCTCCCTGGAGCAGCAGCCCGAGTGGGGTTTAAGTCTGGAAGGATTGGAATGTGGAGCAGTTGCGGGGAGGCTGCCTCTGCACCTCAGTCAGCTTCCGTAGGACAGCCCCAGACTGGACACCCAGGTGGGCACTTCCCAGGATGTGGTGCCCGGGGTGGTGGACTTGAAGGGGAAGAAGAGTGAGTACCTTGAGACATGAGGTTTTAAAAAAAATTTTAGACAATATTTTCTTTGGATTTCAAATGCTTGCGTGCTTGTAAAACTTTTCTTGAAAAGTATAAAGAAGTTACACACACACACACACACACACACACACACACAATAATCGCACCACTCAGATAAAACCACTGTTAACATTTTGCTGTCTTCCAGGTTTTTTATGCATTTATATATGTTATATATCTTTAAACAAAAATAGTATCATGCTATATACATTATTTTATAAGCTGCTTTTTCTACTACTCAAATAGTACATCATGACACCTTTCCGCATCAGTGCATATCAGTCTGCCTTAATTTACACTGGCTGCATAGCATTCTCTGCTGTGGACGTGCAGATATACTTAATCAGTCCCCACAGTGGACACAGGTTATTTCTATTTCTTGTACCTCAATCTCTGCCCACACCCTTCTATTTCCTGGGGCTCATTCTTAGAGGTGAGGTTACTGGCTCAAAGGGTCTGCATGTTTTTGAGGCTCTGCCTTCCAGAGAGGCCAACCCCCCACAGCCAGGGTGGCAGGGAGGGTGTGTTGAGGGATGTGCTGGGGGAGTGCCCCCACCTGGGCTGTGTCCCACGCTGATTATCTGCCCTTCTCCTCCTCTCCAGGGTTGAACCCATCAGAGCCACTGTCTTCCAGTACCCAGTGGGCTGGCCACCAGTCCAGGAGCTGCCTCCATCTCTGCGGGCACCCCCACCCGGCGGGTGGCCCCTACAGCCCAGCATCCAGTGGGGCTAGTCCCTCATCCCCACCTGACCCCCACCGGGTCAGCTCCCACTACAGTCACAGTAAAGTTAAGGGCTCATACTAGGAACGCTGAAGTCACCTCCAGCTGTGGCCCCATAGAGCCTCTAAAGCTATTAGCTCAGCCTGGCCTGGCCTTGCTGAGGCCCAGGAGTTCTCCCCCCAGGTGGCAGCCCTGGCTCTGTGCCAGTCAGCTCCACCCTCCTTCCCTCTTGAAAAGACGGGTGAGAAAACTTCCCGCTGGATGTTTATAAAGAAAGTCTGTCACTATGGTGATATGGCTACGCTTCCCCCTTGCCGGGTGCGTCAGCTACGTGCTCTGGTCCCTGGTCAGCGGATGGGCAGGCCTGGAGTGATATGAGGTCTTCTCCAGGGTGACAGTACTTGCTGCCCTTCTCCCTTGGGAGCTGGAAAAGGGTGGCCAGTGTGGCTGTGACCATCACCCATTTGAGAAGTGGCTCCAGTTCTGGGGAGAAGGAGCCCAAGGACTTGGTCTGCCATGCCCAGTCCCCATATCTGCTCGAGCTGAACTGGGGCCCAAGCATGAGATGGGACAACTGAGGCAGGGATGGGAGCGGGGTCTCCAGCCTAGTGAGTGTAGAGAAATGGGGCACCCAGGAAGAAAGGCCCTGGGCTTGAGAGAGTGGCCTGGGTGAGCTTCCTGGCATGGACATGAGCCCCTTCAAGGCTTCTGCCCTGGAGGAGCCCCGGGCCAGTGGGAAGATCACAGGCTGCTCAGGCATTTGAAGCCTCCTGGCCCCTCTGCTCCCTTCCTCAAGTATCCTCCAGTTCTAAATTCTGTGCCAGGTGGTAGTGGGCATAGCCCTCAGGCCACTGGGCCTCTTGGGAGGTACCCAGAGGGTGGGGGCCTGGAGGGCCACCTCAGTTGCCCCATCTTCCTAGAGCTTCTGCCCTTCCTGAAAATCCTATTGATGGGGTAACAGGCCAAATGTGGGGACCCTTTGTACCTTGGGCTCTCATCTGTGAAATGAGCTGGTTCTTGGGCCCGTGGGTGTGTGAAGGGGGCTGGATCTGAGTGTAAGGAGGGTCAGAGGACGGAACCCAGCAGAAGGCCAGGAGCCTTCTTGGCCAATGCCAAGGAGTAGAGCCCAGGAGACCCTGGCCTCATACCCCTATACCCCAGGAAGAGGCTTTCTGTCCACCTCTACCACCTGGCCTATGGCCCAACCTCAGGGACCAGGGTTGGGCTAGTTGTGTGGCCCCGGACACAGGGTGTCCCTTCCTGCCTAAGGGACACAGCAGCTACTGAGCCCTGTACAAATTCTTCCTTAATATCCCAGGAGCCCCTGGACAGTGGGAAGAGTTAGTGCTACGTACACGCCAGGGTGGGGCAGGGGCAGGGTACAGGCGGGACTGGAGGCCGTCCTCGGAGCCACCACCAGGCCCTCCACAGCTGGGCCACGGCTCCATGCAAGGGGTAGGGTCATTGGACGTCCAGGCCCTGAAGTACACGCAGTGGTGGTGGCCCAGGGAGTGGCTGAGGGAAAGGACTGCAGGCGGTGGTGGATGTGGAGGGCCCCATGCACCTCTCGCGCCAGATGAGGTGCTCAGGCGATGCCTATTTCATGCCGCTACGCAGTACCTGGTTGGCTGCGATAAGCATGACGCTGATGATGAAGGCGATGGCGAAGGCGCAGATCAGACTCTTGCGTACACATGTCTGGCGGATCTGCTGGTTGGAGCAGGCTGTGGCCACCCGCCAGGGAGCACCAGAGAGAGACACAAGGGGACAGCGGAGTGATGGAGTCAGGAGCCGTCTGCACTTCTGCACATGGGGTCATCCCATGAGGTGCACAGGGAAATGAGGCTTGGGGCCAGCAAGGAGGCCCCAAACGCCCTCTGCAAACCCCTGGTTCCTCCCCTATTCAAGCAGTTGGCCCGCCCAGAGGGGGTAGGGTCCCCAGGGTCAGTCACTCACTCTCTACATCCACGGGGCACTCCTCAGCAGTGCCCAGGTGGCTCTCCTCCTCTGTCATGATAATGTTCTCTATGTCCTTCATGGACAGGTGCTCACAGAAGGTGTCGTAGAGCAGCCTCTTCAGCTCGTCCACAGTCAGCTTCTGCATGTCGCACTTGGGTGGAAGGAGACAGTGCTCTGGCCACCACAACCACCACGGTCCCCACCCAGTGCCCGCAGCCACACAAGCCGGGGACAGGCCTCCAGATTCTGAAGGGCTGGAACCACTTGCTCCATTTCTTGAGTCCCTGACCCCCAGCCTCCCCCAGGGAACCGATGGCCCTCTGGGAGACAAGAAATCCAGTGGACAGAAGACTGAAGTGGTCATCCCCCCTTTACAGAGTGGGCCTGGCCAGTCACTGGTCCCAGTATGGCCCTCCACAGTGTGCACAGCCCTGGGTCCCAACCAGTCATGGCATACCTTCCAAAACACGGTGTCAAAGTCAGTGCCAAGGAACCTCTCTGGGATCCCCGAGGTGGAGAGCTTGGGTCCCAGGAGGGTCACAAACTCCTCAAAGTCCACTTGGCCATCACCTAGAGTGGGCACAGGTCCAATCAGCAGGGTCAGCCTACAACTGTCTGACCTCAAGCAGGTCCCCTCCTTCTCTAAGCCTTGTCAATTTTAGGGGCACCTAACATGCACCTCTGGCCTGATGCTGGAGCCAAGTGTGATGAGGCTCCATTGACAAGGTGGAGGTGGAGTGCAGCAGGTGGGCCCTGAGCACGTCGGAGACCCTCACGTTACACTCAGAACTCCCATGGTTTCCCAGGACCCTGCTGCTGTCCCGGGGGAGGTGTGGGGCCTGACATTCCCCCACCACACAGGAAACGAAGCTCAGGAGTGGGGGGACAAGCTACCCAGGCCACCACCTGCTGGTTGGGTGGAGAGGAGTGTGGGGCACAGAGGGATCAGAGGAGGGGACTGGGCATTACTGGTCTTTGTGAGTGTTTCCATAATAAAATGCCAGGTGGAAAATACAACTACATTATTTTTTTATTTTGAATGGTGAGACCTTGGGTATTTAGTAATACTTCTACTTTAAATTTTTCTCAGAATATAGACCAAGATGGGTAGGGTCTGACCTCAGGTTGTGGCTGGGGCTGGCACACTCTGGCCTCAATTCAGATTCTCCGGGCTGAGAAATGGGGCCAGACCTGGCTGTAAACTGCCAAGCTTGGGGGTGGCTGGTAGTGGGGAAAGTGAGAGGCCCCAGGTGAAGGTTGAGGAAACAGGGCAGTGCTCACCATCCATGTCCAGTCGCTGGATGATGACTTCCAGCTCTACCTCGTTCGGCATGTAGCCCAGGGAGCGCATGGCGGTACCCAGCTCCTGCTTGGAGATGAAGCCATTGCCGTCGCGGTCAAAGACTTTGAAGGCCTCTCGGATCTCTGTGGGGGAGCAGAACAGGTTGGGACTTCTCTCCTGTTCTTGACACCCTGCTTCCCACACCATGAGGATCCCCAAACCTGCAGCCCGAGCCCAGCACTGAGAATCCACCAGAGCCTGCAGGTCTGGTCAGAGACACTGGCAGGTGGCCCAGGAGTCCGCAATAGCGCTGCTTCTGAGAGCTCAGGGCAGACTGGCAGCAGAGGTGTGCCCAGGTCCTCAGCAGTGTGAGACTGTCCCCAGGGTCTCAGTCTCAATGCATCAGGCTCTCACATCCTCTCCAGCCATACTCATAACGACCCTGTGTGTGGTCCCTGTGGCAGAAATCATGGGTCCTACTGTGCAGGAGAGGAAGCCAGGCAGCCGGAGGCTCCCCTGCCCACAGCACACTCCTTCCATCCCCATCCCACACTTCCTCCTTCCTCCCTGTCAGCTCAGCTCCTTAACACTGGCCAAGACGCTAATGACAGCCATGTGATGCAGCCTAGCGGGCTAACGGCTCAGCGCAGACTGCTTTGGCAGCCCAGGGTTTGGGGGTAGGGGGAGTAGGTGGAAGGGTCTCAGCAGGCCCAGGCCAGCTCAGATGTGAGGGTTGCTTCCTCCATTCCATTATACAGAGGGTGAAATAGGCCTGAGAAACTGAGTGACTCAGGTGGGGAGCAATGAGGTGGGCTGGGAGCCTGGGAATGAGCGACCTTGGGTGAGCCTCAGACTTGCCCATAGTAAAATGGGTAACGGGTTTTACCAAAGACATCCAGGAAGGGTTGAGGGTCCTAACCTTTCCCAACTCTGCCTATTTCTCTGCCTGCTGTCCCTTCATTGTTCCTCAGCCCGAGAAGGGCCCTAAGGAGCATTTTCATTTGGAGGAAAGTGAATCTCAATCCACTCATACCCTCTCTGCTCCAACTTCCTGGAGTTTCCTCATTCGGTTTACCTGCCAGCCTCCTGGCCTTTGCTTAAGCTGTTTCCCTGGGTGGGACTTAAGCAGGCAGAGGTGACCTCAAGTGTGTGTGTGTGTGATGTGCATGTGTGTGCATATTTGGAGTAGAGACAGATGAGATGCCTTCACGCGGCAGACCTGGAAAATGAAGCCCAAAGAGGCTAGGTGGACAGCCCAGGGTCAGTGTGGGGTCAGGGCTATTTCTGGCGAGGACAAGAGTTAGGCTAGCCTTAGGGGTTCGTGAACCCCTGAAACTGATTGTGGGATCCTACACCTTGGGGTCACTCCCTGATCCTGCTGGTCCCACTATAGCCCAGAGAAGGTGGCCATGTGTCCCAGGCTATGCAACAAGATAGCTTGGACTGAGGCCCCAAACTTCATCAGGGTCTTCCCACCTGGTGTCAGCACTCAAGGCCTGATAGTTAAACTAGTTGACATGCAGGACAGGACAGAAACAGTGAGCCACACCTGAGTTGCCCACAGATCCTCTGACTCTGAACCTTTCCCTTACATAATCTGCAGGAGAGCAGCTGGGATGATAGACCTGGGCAGGGCCCAGGGGTATGTAAACCCTGGACTCAAGGAACTTTAGTCTAACTCCCACCTAGAGGTTTTCTGAGCCACTGAGGAGTGGTGAGCTCCCATCCCCAGAGACGTGTGAGAAGAGGCTGCGGAGGGACTGCAGGCTCCTGGGAGTCTCTGCTAGAGATGAAGGTACTGGCCATGCAACCAGGCACACTCTCTGTCTCCCCCTCCCCCAATACACATACTTAGGTCTCTGGGTGGCACTGCTGCCTTCCTGACCCAGCCACAGGTTCTGCCCTCCTCGAGTGTCCTGAACTCCAGCCCTAGGGGCCCTTTTAGACCTGTGGACACTTGGGTTGCTCCAGCTCCAGGCCTTTGAACAAGAGGCTCCTTTTGCCGGAATGCTCTTCCCTCAGCACACTGTGATGCACCCCTGGCGCCCAGCATGGACGCATCACCACCCTGGTGCCCTCCCTGCCTTGCAGCTGACTCTGGCCCTCTTCTGGGCTCAGTCCCGCTCTTCCCCAGTCCTTGCACTGACCACACTGGACTGTGAACTACAGTGCCATGAAAGCAGGGACCAGGTTGGTCTTGTTCACAGCTGTGCTTCATTACCCAAAACAGTGCCTGTCATTCAAGCATAAATGTTTGTTATATACAGTAAATGGTTAACTGATTTGGGGAACCCATCCACCTGAAGCACACAGAGAAAGGAGCTGAGCAGAGGTTCTTAAACCTCTTGGTGTGAGGTCATCACTCAGAGATACCAGGGTAGGATGGCGAAACCATGAATCCCGTTGGGCTGCAGTGGGTGCGGGGCCCTCCCCTGCAATGATCTGGGTGCCAAGCTGTCCCTCCCACCCTGGCAGGAGCCAGGTATGACTCCCAGAACCCAGGGTTGCTTCAGCTGGAGGCCCTGACCCCCTTCTGGAAGCTCTGAGGAATGCCCTGGGCTGGGTGGGAGACAGTGAAGTCAGGTGAATCATGGAGTACGTGGGCAGGCGGCAGACCTGGAGGCAGCCCATGGCTCCCACAGACATTTTTCAGGCAAGACTAACCTCCTAAGACCACTATATAAATCCAAAGACTCTCACCTCCATGTCCACATGTCCCTTCTGCCATCCCTCCCTGGCATCTGCGGCTCACACCTCAGGTTTGCCTCTGTACCTTTGTTCATGCTCAGATCCCTGCCCCAGCCCAGCTGACTCCTGAGGCCAAGTTCCGGGACCACCTTCCAGCCAGAGAGTCAGCTCTAAGTCACACAGACTCAGGTTCAAATCCCTGCTCTCCTACATCTTGGCTGGATGACCTTGGCTGGTGTTTGCTCACCTGTCCAATGGGGCTGCGGGAATGACGAAATATGAAAATCAAGTGTATAAGTGCTTGACAGTGCTGGGCTGGGCTCAGAACAGGACACTGACAATCAGACATCACAGACAGCAGAGCCAGAAGGAGACAGAGGACTGTGTGAACTTTGGACACCAAACTGGCCTTCCTGTTGGGTGATGCCAGGGTCTGGGGGCCTGGGCTTGAAGTCTGGCTCTGCCGCTAAGCAGCTGAATGACCTGGACAAAGCAATGCCTCTCTGAGCCTCAAGTGCTTCATCTGTGAAATGGGAATGTGACTCTTGTCCCACCACTGAGGCCTGGACCTACTGGGGGTGGGCATCAGGACTTCCCCATTGCTGCTGCCAGCAGCACATGCCAGCTGGGTGCATTTCCCCGAAAGCCTCTCTCTGCTCCTGCGCTCTGTTCCTGCTGCATGAGAACAGAGGAAGCCTGCTGTGCTCCATCTTGGCATGGGGACGCCTGGCCCGGGAAAGAGCTGGCAGGGCCTCCAGGTTTCCAGGCCCACACTGTCCCCCACCTACTGCCTACATCCCCAATCCCTCCCATGGGCCCATGGAGTGTCAGGGCCTGAGTCCCCAACAGGCTCCAGGGGACACCAGCACTCTGTCAGGGAGTTGGAGTCTAGGGGTGGGGGGTACATGAGCTAGGGGTGGGGCGGTGTCTGTTCTCTGCAGCGAATGGTGCTCTCTGAGACATTGGCCCTGTGCCCCATCACTTTGGCCTCCCTGAATTTCTGGCCCCTGAAAAGGCAGCCGCTGGGCTTGCAGGAAAGGGGCAGGAATGGGATTCCCCTACCCCCCATTCCCGAATGCCTCTATTTGGCCATTCTCATTGCAGGGTCCACTGTTCCACTGAGCAGGCCAAGTGCCAGCCTCAGAACCCTGCCCTGGTGGCTGCCTGTCTGTTTCCTTCCTCCTCTGGCCAGAGAGGACAGGACTGCAGCCTGCAGCTGCCCCTGTTCCCACCCTCGGGTGCTCAGGTCCGTTGACGCAGGGCCAGGCTCAGTGTTCCTGCAGGCCTGGGGGTCTCTGCTGTGTGTGTATGTCGAGGAGGAGGTACAGGGCGAATCTGGGAGGGCCTCTCATGGGGGGCAGGTGGTCTGAGGCCAGCTCTGCCCAGCCATGTCTGCCCTCCAAACTGCCATCCATGGTTCTTAACCCCAGGCACAGGATCCCAGGTGCCTCTGCCAGACAGACCTTCAATGCCCCTTCCACCCAGCCCCTCCCCCAGCCTGCCTTTCTGGCCAGACCCTCTGCGCATCCTGCATCCCTGCCTCTTGCGCCTTTACTAATCCCTCTACACTCCAGACTCTTACTTCTGTAGAGTCCCCTCCTTGACCTTCCCTACTGCTGTGTCTGCCTGGCCCCCACTGAAAGTCAGGCACCGCACTGAGCACTTCCATCGCATCCTCCGTCACCAGCAGCCCTGGGAAGGGGCGATGCCAACTCCCTTTAACAGATGGAAAAACCGAGGCAAGTGATTGCCCGAGGTCACTCCGTGAGATGAAGGTATAGAGACTTGAACCCAGTGCTGCCCGGCTGGAAAGCCCTTATCTTAACCCTGAGCTCTCCACCTCCCTTCCTGGTCCTCCCCCGCCCTCAGACTAACCGCCCCCTGGATTTTTGCGGCAGGCACATACTGTCTGCAGCATTTCATCCCAAGCTGCCAGACTCCCTCTTCTCGGCACATGTGGCTCCCTCACTGATGGGCATCTTCCCAGAAAAGGGCCTGGGTGTTACCCAGACTGGCCTGGGGCAGAAGCACTAATGGGGCACTAGGGAGGTGGAGGGACCAGATGGGGGATCTGTGCTAGGAATGGTCACCGTGTCCACAGAGCCCTGGCATTCAAGGATCATTGGGGCCTGCAGAGAGTTGGTCTCCTAGAGGCGGGCTTTCAGGGTGCCTGCAGCCAAGAAAGGGGTCAGTCATGGAGGACTTCTTGCTCTCATCTGCAGCTGTGCATGGACTGGGAGATGGGCTGGGCCACTTAGGCATCTGCTTGCTCCAGGACCCCCGCCTGCCCACACCAGAGAGGGCCTTGCCCTTCAGATGCCCCTGTGCCAGGCCCCTCTGCTCCCCAGGGCCCAGGAGAAGAGGACGGGAGAGAGCAGGGAGGGTGTTTGGTGTGGCTGGTGACTAACACTCCTGGGCTCCTGCCAGTGTGTCCGCTGGGCAGCCCAAGGGGAGGCTGCAGCCTCCTTGCCCCTGCACTGCCTGCCCTGTGCCCCGCTCACCCCTCCATCTTAGGCTCCTCTCAGCTTCTCCTCTTCCTTGGGGTGTTGATTTCAGGGCTGAGAGACTGGGAGCAGTGGGGCCCCATGAGCCCCAAAGCAGGGCTGCCAGGGTCATGGTGAGGTACTGGGAGCAAGGGGTGGGAATGAGGTGGAAGCTGCCTCATGTGTGGGGGAACAATATTAACCCTTGCCTCAGTGGCCAGGAGGAAGGAATGGATGAGAAACTATAGAAGGGGGCACTGGCAGGAGTTTTGAGGTGGCCCAGGGCAGGAGGAGACAACATTAGGGAAGAGACAGCTTATGCCCCAGCCCCTGCCCTCTCGCCTTTCATCATATCCTCTTTGTCCCAAGCCCTGGATGAAGCTCTGGCTCCTGGCTTCGGCCCAGACAGGGCAGGGATTTAGGTTTTGGGGTTCAAGGCCAGAGACCCAGCAGCATCACCTATCCATCTGTCCTGCCTATATCTGACACCAGACCCCGTTTCCATGACTCTCCTGGTCTCTGGGAGCTTTTGGAGGGACTTGGTGAAGAGCAGGTGGCTCATAGCCTGTGGTGCAGTTGGGGGGAGGGGAGCAGCCTGCTCCCTCTTGATCTTCTCCTTAAGCCTGACTCCCCCAAGATCTGCCCCCTCCAGGGCTTGGGGATAAGGGAGGACCTTTCTCCATGCCTTCCCCTGTGCTCCCAGGATCATTCCTGACTGCGCTGGTGTCCGGGCTGCAACCCTTCCCCAGGCCCGGATGAACCCCGGATCTCAGAGACCCTTGGACCCAAGATACTCAAAAAGAGGACCAGCCTCTGGGTGATCTCAGCCCCTCCCCCAACACCAGCAAGAATATCCCAGGGGACCAAAACTCATCCCAGAGTCCCCCCCAGCTACTCCAGATGGGGCCCCAGGAGGTCTACAGGGAGGGGAGCCTGAGCACCTGTGCCCGTTCCGTAGGGAAAGAGCTCCCAGGCCCCAGGGGTCTCACTGCTCCCCAGAACCCTCCATCTAGGGTCCACAGCCCTTGCCCTCTGCTTCGATCTCACCCAGACCACTGTCTAAAGTCCTCATTCATGTCCAGAGGCAGAGGGACTGGGGGGTGGGGTGGGAGGGCAGGTTGGGTCTCTGCCTCTCTGCCTTTCCTTTTCTAGGTTTGGTTATCACGACCAAGCCGCGGAATCTGGCCACTTGTTGTCGCCACCACCTCCCCGGCCGCCTTCCCGGAGCTCTGGGCTAGGGGTCCCCGCAAGGCTGTGCGGAAGACGCTAAGGCCGCAGGAGGGGCTGGGGAGCGGGAGGCAAACCCGCAGTCGTTAAGGAGGGCAGTCGCCCTCTCCCCTTCTCCAGCTGCCCTAGCAGATTGGATTTTAAAAGCTACACGAATGGAATGTAAATGCAAGCGCAGAGCCACGGGCTGACGCCGCGGAGGGGATCAGGACGCGGGTGCTCCGGCTGGGCCGGTGCCGGGGCGCAGCTCGGACCCCTACCTCAACCAGTCGCTTTGCCGCACCGTCACCGCCGACTGCGCGGCCCCGCGGCCCCGTGACCCCGCTGCGGGACCCAGCAAGTTTCCGCAGCGCTGGGGACCACGCGGGCAGGGGCTGGGCTGCCTCTCCGCCTTTGCGACCCTCACCGCGGCGCCCAGGGGTGCGAGCTGGTCCGGCCTCCATGCGCAGCTGCTCGCTGGGGCGCCCACCTGGCAGCAGGCACCTGCAGACCGCCCCGTGCCCCCGTGCACCCCTAGCTCGAGCTTCACCTGGGCGCACAGGTAGGAGGGCCAGCAGGCGGGGGTCCCGGCGGGGTACTCACCCTCCAGCTCATCCTCAGGGATGTCCACGGGGCGCTGCTCCGACAGCAGGTTGGGCACGGTGTAGATGCCCCGGTACATCAACGCCGCCGTCACCGGGTGGAACGGCATTTTGGAGGCTCCGCGCCCGCCCGCCCGCCGCAAACTTTGAGGTCGGGGCTCATGGGCCGGCGGCGGCCCGGGGGGCGGCTGGAGCGGGCGGGGCGCACAGCTGTGAAGGGCGGCCCGGCGGCGGCAACAGCGACGAAGCGAGTGGCACCCGTCCGGGGGCCTAGAGCCCCCGCGCCCCAGGCCGCTGGTCCATGCCGCCCCCTCCCTCGTCGGGCTCCCGGCCGGGGCCCCGCAGGGGTGGCGGGGGCGGCGCCACTCCGGCCTCTTCGCTCGGGTCGCTGCGCGCCGCGCCCGCTGTGCCCGCTCCTCGGTGCCCCGCGCGCTCTGCGCTGCTCGTCGCCCGCTTGTCCGCTGGCCCGCGCGGCCCCCCGGCCCGCCGGTCAGGCTCTCGCCGCCTCCCCGGCTCGCTCGCTCGTTTGCTCTATGCCGGGCTGGCTGCGCTCCCGCCTCCCCCGCCCGCCCCTCCGCGCTCCCCGCCCCCCTACCCCCGCCTGCCCCTTCCCGCCGCGGGCCCCTGAGGAGCCGCCCCAAGCCCGCTGGGGGTCCCTGCTCCCCTTAGTCCGGGTTTACCTTTCTCCCTGCGGAGGATCACTCGCCCCCACAGCGGCGCCGGGACCAAGGTGGGGTAGGGCCCTTTCTTCCTGCCCTTTGGCCCGCCCCCAACCCTTAGAACTGAGAGCCGGGAACTGAGAGCACCAAGTGAGATGGCCCCAGCAGTCTGGGTCCTCGAGAAGAATTACAGCGTTGGTACCAGGAGAGGCTCCAAGGCGAGGAAACTGAGGCTGAGAGAGAGGCTGTTGAGCAAGGTCATCAAGGAGGGCCAGGAGGCAGGAGCTGGTCCCGGTCTGGGGCAGGCTCCCCTGTGGCTGAGACCTCCTGGTTGACCTTGCCCCCCACCCCACCCTCACCCTCACTCCCACCCCCACTACCACCAGTAGAGCCTCAGTCCTGGCTCCTTCCCAGGCCTCCACCCCTCAGCCTGCAGAGGAGGAGCCAGGGTCTGTCTCATGGCCCAGGGGACACTGAGGGACAGAGAGAAGGCTGGGTGTTTGCAGGGACTGGCGTGAGAGCCTGTCAGTTCACATGGCTGCAGGTTAGACCTAATGTGTGTTCAGGACTCACCCAGGCCCCAGAGCATGTGTGCACATCAGGTTGAGGGGGCAAGTGTTCATGGGAACAGCAAGTGTGTGCATATATCTGTTATCCACGAGGGTGCGTTCAAGTGTTTGCAAGTCCACATGCAGATGGACGTGGATCAGGAATGTTTGGACACCTGTATGTGCCAAGGTTGTGAGCTGGCAGGGGTTGGGAGGGCAGGAACTGATTGGCAGAACCCCGGGTGGGTGGGGGGCAGGGTGCAGACTTTGGCCTGGGATTGACATGAGCAAGTGTGCATGGATGTGAGTATATATTTCTGGGAGAGGGGATGACTCTCTGGCCTTGCTGTGGCCCCAGATGTGGGCTCTGCCCCTGGAGGCCCCATCAGAACCACCTCCCTGCCCCCTTTGGTCCAATCAGCCAACTGCTTCAGCAGGAAAGCAGATTGCCACAGCCCTGCCTGACCCTGCCCTTCCCAAGCTGATTACATTTTTCTGCTTGTTTCTGCTTTTGTCGCTGATTAATCACAACTCTTTCTTGGGGCCTGGGGAGAGGGGGCTCAGGGAGAGATGCCATTCCTGAGCCCCAGCACTTCACTGGCACAGCTCTGGATGGGACTCCCAACAGCATCCAAAAACTGCAGAAGAGACAGGAAGGACCCTAAGCGATTGGTCTGCCTCCCCAGCCTCTGTGGGCTAGTTGGGTGCCCATTAGGACCTATGCCTGTGGGCTAGTTGGGTGCCCATTAGGACTCACACCTGGAGTCCTCCTCATCCACCTGTTTTCTTGTCTGACATTTCACCACTGGAGCTGTGCTTTGAACTCCCTCGGGTTTTCTGGTGAAGCAGGTGAGCAGGGGATGTAAGAATTTACAACTCAGAGCCAGGTATACCTGCGGCTCCTGCATCTACCACCTCTTTGCTGTCAGAACTTAGTCATTTCCCTTAACCTCCTAGGGCCTCAGTTTCCCCCTTGTGAAGTGAGGGTGGCAATGCCACCTCCCAGGCAGTGGTGAAGTTGAAGTGATGTGACATATGAGAGGTGCCTGGCAGTGCCTCCCTGTACCTCATGGGAATTTCCTATTAGCATGAAAATCCCCCCGAGAAATATGAATTAATAATAATTATAGCTGCCACATATTGATTGAGAGTGAACCGCAGCAGCTCACTCCTGTGGTGTTTACTGAGTGGCCAGGCTGCTCCAGCCCAGGCCCGCTTGTTCTAAATCAGGACCCCCGCACCAAGGGAGGGTAAGCTGGAGCCTGTTGAGGCCCTGGTGGGAAACCCAGCTCCTGGTGACTGTCTGAGAGGCCACTGCAGACTGGGTTAGTCCTCGCCTGAAGGAGGGGCACCTCCTGCTGCGTCCCTTGCGGCTACCAGCCTTGGTGCCCAGGTGGAGAATTTTCAAAGGATGGTGCAGAAACAGTCTCTGAGATAAATCAAGTAACAGTCAAGTGGGTGGGCCTACCTCACATGGCGAGGACTTGCAGGTCTGATACAGGTCTGTGGCCAAGGGGTTGGGCTGTCTACCTTGTGACCAGGCTGCTCTCTGGGTCAGGCTCCACCAGGCCAAAGGGACAGGACTCACTGGGGATTATAGCCCCAAGGCTGTGGTGTACCCCACCACTATGACCATCTCTGAAACCCCAGTGTCCTGGTGACTCAGGCCAGTCCTTGTCCCCTCTCCTGGTGCAAAGCCAAGGCCCACAGAACTAGCTGTGGGTCCAGGAGACTTCCACAGGCCACCAACTACACCTGTGCCCCCTTCTCAGGTGAATACATGGGCCACACCTGGGCTGTGCATGTAACCTGCTAAGTCCCCTGAACCTCTGAGGGCAGTTTGGCCTTGCCCCCATTCATGGATGGGGGCGCTTAAGGGCCCAAGTTGAGTCATGCAGCCCTATGAGGCAGAGCTAGGGGTCCAAGCCAAAGTGGGAGCAGGGTGTGGCCGAAGCTGTAGGGGCCACCCTCAGAGCCATGCTGATCTCTCCCTGCCCTTTTAGGCTTAGAGGAATGCCGGGTCCTCTGGGAACCATTGTCAACTCCTGGTCCTCTACTGCTGTGCCTCTGGGGCCAGTGGGCAGGCCTGGGCAGGCATCAACCTCTTTTGTGCAAGACAGGCTGGGAGTCAGAGGACGAGAGGGAGCTGCTCGTACCTGGGGCTCACACAGCAAGTGCCACTGGGCTGCACAGCATGGCTGAGGCCGCAGTTCACTGTCTGTGGAAGGCAGTAGAGAATGGGGGGAGGGTTACAGAGGAAGGACATGAAGACAGGGCTTGAAAAGTCTTTGACGTGGAAAAGTCCTGTGGCGTTTACTGAGTGGCCAGGCTGCTCCAGCCCAGGCCCGCTTGTTCTAAATCAGGACCACGTGCAGTAAGAGCTCTCCATGGAGAACCAGAGCTGGCCATATGACCTTGGGTGTCTACACTCACCTTTCTGAGCCTCAGCTTACCTATTAAATAGGAACACATCTAACCCCTGGAGTGAATATTTAGATCCAAACGTGAGTGCTCAGTGCACAGAAGTGGCGGTTCTTATGAGTCAAAGGAACTCCAGGAGGAGAAGCCTTGAAAATGGGCAGAAGCTTGAAAATGTGAGAGGACCACCCTCAGGTCTGGAGGGCAGGTCTAGTCTGCATCCCCCAGATCCTGTACCTGGCACAGGGCTGAGCTGGGCTTGTGAAGAGAGCAGGGACTGGACAAACATCTTCTTAATGAATGAATAAGAGAATGAATGAATAAATGAACGAGTGAATGATCGTCCACCTGCCCTTTGGCATTGCAGCCCCGTCCTCTTCTCTACATTACAGGGGAGCAAATGGCATGATTGCAGGGTGTGAATTAGGTCTGTTCTCCCCCATCTGGGGGAAGTGTTGCTGCCATCACACTGTACTCCCTGGGGTGTCACCAGGAGACCTGTGTCCACAGACCTCACCCTCTAGTACTTGGATCAGGGTGTTGGAGACAGCGGGAGAGATAACCCACCTGTGACTCTGGGAAAATCCACCAAATGGCAGGGGAAAGAGGTGGGTATCACCCTGTCCTGAGGTTGGATTCCCTCCCTCTCAGAGACTGGAACCCTCTCCTATCAAAACCAGTATGCTCCCCACCCTCCCTCGCCCGGAGACGACTACTCTGAGGCCTGCATTCTCGCACTACTTGTGTTCAGCACCAGGGAGAGCTCCTGGCAGAGCTCAGGGCCCTGCAGAGTAGGGTGAATTTATTGAGGTACTCACAGAACCTGATAAGGCAATAAATGAACCCATTGTCCAGAGGAGAGAGGGCAGGCACCAAGCTCAAGGTCATGCTAGGACTGCTGACTGACTGTAGCCCTCTTGAGCTGGGAGGCTGCTGGGGGTGGTAGGACATAAATGGGGTGTCCAAGGAGGGCAGAGGCTCTGGCCTCTGCTCCTTGGCTAGGGAACAATATTGTTCCAAAAACCCGCTGGGGACAGTGTCTGGAGGTGAATAAAATATTCATCGTCTGAGAAAACTCACACTTGATGAATAATGGAATTTATAGACTTGCAGAGGCAGACCCAGCCGGGAGGGGGTGTAGGCCTGATCCCAGAGGCCCCTGTCTGCTCTGATCTTGCCCTGCCCTGGACACACCCCAGAGCCTTTAGATGTCCAGCTCCCTCCGGTGACTGGGACAGACAGGACAGAGCAGGTGAGAGTCCATGCGAAGAAAATGGGACGAAGGGGACAGGTCCTTGAATGTGTTGTTCTTTGAGAAGCAACTTGGTGATGGAGAAAGAGCACTGGACTCAGAGTCCAGTGTGGCTGGGATGAACTCTCATATGTCACCAGCTCTGTGCCCTGAGTGTGGCATCTGTCCTGTCCCAGTTTCTTCCTCTGTAAAGTGGGGTTGATGCTGCCACCGCACAGCTAGGGTGGCTGCAAGGATCTGTTGAGATGATGACGGTGACAGTGCTTGGTACCACTGTCCCTGACACACCCAGTGCTCACACCTGTTGCTGAGGCTGGACCTTTAGCTCCTCTCCATGGGCCCCCAGACTCCCCTGAGCCCAGCTGTGGTCTAGAAGGCAGAGGGAGGCAGGGCCACAGAAGTGGAGAAGCTTCTAGCCCTCGGGGCAAGGTTTGTCAGTAAGTGCAAAAACCTGGCAGGGGAGAGACAGGCACAGGCACTCACCCAGGACCCCCCACCCCACAGAGTCTCCTCCCACCGGGCTGGGCTGGGACCTGGGCAGAGGCATTTTTAAAAAGCTCTCCAGTAGCTTTTAAGTTGCAGCCAGAGTTAGAACCACTGCACCAGAGGCAGAAGGCCTGGTGGGGGAAACTGAGTCTGGGCAGGTCACAAGGATTTTTGCCATGTGCCACCCAGAACATGACAGAGATCTTTGTCTCTGATCCCCTTTTGGCCTTGGTCCACCCCTCTGGGAAGTGGAAACCTACCCCTAGGTCATGGCCAGGCTGCTGGCTAAAAGTGAGATCATTTGTACTGAGGGCCCAGCCCCTGCTTGAGGTCCACTTCCTGAGTGACAGCTGTGACAGCTGGCAGGAGATGAGGCACAAGGCAGCTCCTAATTGCTCTGGGCTTCCAGATCCCTGCCTCAGTCTGTTGCCTTTGACTAGATGCTCCACCAACCTGCCTGCAGTGGCTGCTTCCCCAGAAGAGGCCCTGTCTGCTGACCTACAGTGGTGGTGGTGGTAGAAATTGCCTCCCCCTGCAGGGTCTCACCACCTCTGGAGCAGGGTGAGACTGGGGCCCTGAAGTCCCCCAGGAGCCCGCCCCTCCTCTCCGCATCTCTCGGGGTGACATAAAGGACTATGCATAGCTTCCACTTGAGAAGCTGCCCAGGGGCTGAAATGCAGAGACCCTGTGGGTGGCTCTGCAACCTCATTTGGCACACCTACCAGGGGGCATGAACATGTCCTCTGGGGTCAGACCCAAGAGAAACTGTGTGACCTTGGGCAAGTCACTGGGGCTTGGAGTCTTGGTGCCCCTTCTGGGAATAAGGGTGCCTGTTTGTCAGGGTGAGCACAGAAAGAGGGACATGAGGTGCCGGGCCCAGGGTCCAAGGCAGAGCACAGACATTCACCATCACTGTTCTGGCTGTATCTCAGAGGGGTCCTTGTGGTTCCTTGGGACCAGAATCCCTTTGCACACCCCTTGGGCTGAGTTTTCAGGTTGGTGCCTACCTCCCTGTCTCTAGCTGCCCACCATCCTTTAAATTCTTTTTCAGAAAAGCCAAATTATTTACCGGGCTTCGTGCATCTAACCCAACACTTACCCTTTCCTATGCATGAGCTGCTGCCTCTACATGGCTTGGGTGCAGCCTGTGTTTACACACCTCCAAGGGCGGGGAGCTTACCACCTACAAGAGGCAGAACCAGCACCTACTTATTCCCTGGGTTCTGGCTTTGTACTCCAATGAGCAGTTCATTAGAGTGGCACTCATTCCAACTACATCATGTAAGGATGGCATAGTGAGCCCGTGTGCAGAGGGCGCTGTGGTGGCAGAAAGAGGAAGCAGGGGAAGTAGGGGCCAAGCTTTTAGATGAGCACCTATGGCCCTTGTCCCAGGGCTCAGCTGCAAAGATTAGCCTGGCACTGAGACACTGGGACATAGAATGGGTGATTTTTGACGAAGGGACCATGGGGGTGGCCCAGACTGGAGGTGCTGCTCAGAGAGGGGTTGGTCCTGCAGGATCCCCTTCTATCCTGGCCACCCCCACGTCTATAAAAAACTGGGCTATGATCCTTTAGAGTCCTCAATGTCGGGAGATGGGGCTGCACCATCTCTAGGGCTGAGCTAGGCCTGCAGCCCTGGGCCGAGCTTGCCCCCAACCCAAGGCCCACTAATGATCCTTTGTGGCCCACAGTGCCCCGGTTGTGTCGAGCCTAAGTGATGATAAAATCGACAGCAGTTTAATTGGTAATTTTAATCCTGGACAGAGCAGTAATGGCGTTACTAATTGGATCGTTAGAGATTTGTGCTTTATGGCTGTGTAATTAGAGGAGCTGTGAGGGGTTGGGGTGAACTGGGGGGCCCTGTGGGGCCAGGGGCAGGGAGCAGGAGGCAGGGCCTCTTCCCCTTCTAGGGCTGGGTCACCACTGGGACCCCCTGCTCTTCTGCTCTTCTTTTCGAGGAGGGCCCTGAAGCAGCTGAGTGGAGGGGGGCCCTGCCAGGGGGCTACACTTTCCCATCCCAGACCTGGGGTCCCATCATGTCAAGAGGAGGAGGCCTTGGAAAACACTACTAGGAGGCCCAAAGCCCAGTTCCCTGTAGAATGGGATACAGGGCAGACCTCCCTGCATCCTCACACTCATGTCCCTTGTGCTCGCGCAGGCTCACATGGCTCTGTCCCCTTTGCCTGTGGGTTCACTCTGTGCACTGATGTCCCTGCCTCTGCAAGTGAACCACAGCACTCTGGGTAGCCACGGTGTACTCATTTAGAACAGGAAGGGGTCTTAGATCTCACCCTGCTCATGTCTCAGATGGGAAAACAGATCCAGGGAGGGGATCTTTGTGTGTGTGCTCACTAGTCTTGCATGCATGTGGGCTCACCAGCCCTTAACACCAACATTTGGTGGGTTCTCTGCTGCCATTCTGCTCCCGTGACTGATCTACCAGAGCATGAAGAGGGGCTGAGGGGGGCCCAGTCCTCATCCCAGACATGTAGGGCACACATTGTGGGGTGCCTTGTGGAGGGGAGGCAGGTGGAGTGTCCTTTGGATTGATTTCACAAAAGACTAGGAGTAAGCCTGCACTCAGTGAATATTTGCTGGATTAATTAATGAAGGAAGAAAAAAGAACAGGGAGGGAAGGAAGGAAGGAGGGAGGACAGACAGACCATGGACAGAGGGCCTCTGTCACATGCCCTTCCCATTGGTTCCTTAACCTACCCCTTGACACTCTCCTAAACTCAATTATGATCCCCTCACAACTTTCCAGTGGTAGCTACCTTATTCTAAGGAAGAGCCCAAATCACCAAAAGCCCCAAAATACCACCCCCCTCAGTTCTTTGCTGTCACCTCCTGCCCTTGGCCCACCTGCTCCAGCTGCCACACCTAGTCCCTCACCTACTCTTGGCAGAGAGCCAGGTGCATTCCTGCCTCAGGGCCTTTGCACTGCTGTATGTCTGCCAGAAGTGCTCTCCCCCTAGACATCTACACTGCTCACTTTTTTTTTTTTGTTCAGGTAGAGTGGGAGGGAGAGAGAGGAACAGAGAGAGAGAGAAACATCGATGTGAAAGGAACACATCTAGTGGCTGCCACCCGCACGACCGACCAGGGCCGGGGACAAACTGCAACCGAGGTACGTGCCCTTAGCGGGAACCGAACCCGGGTCTCTCAGGACCGCAGGCCGACACTCTAACCGCTGAGCCAAACCGGCCAGGGCTACACTGCTCACTTTTTAAGGTCTTTACTCAAAAGTCAACTTCCCAATGGGCCTTTCTTGGTCATCCTAGCTTAAAAAAAAAACAACAAAAAAAACAGACAAACCACACCTATTTTTCCACTGCTCTACTTTATTATCCTGGCTTGCACTTACCACAGCCTAGCGTACTGTGGGTTCTTCTTTCTTGCCTGGTGCTGAATTTTGTTCAATCCTGCATCCCTATGTTGCAACGTACAGTAGATGCTCATACATAGTTGTTGAACGAATGAATGAATGAACAGGAGGCTCCCTAAAAAGGTGGCCCTGGAAGGTAAGGGCAGATTGTGGGGTTGAAGGGCAGGAGGTTGATGTAGTGTTGAGACACCCCTGGCTGTGAGCCCTTCCCTCTGCAGACCTGGCTCCCACCCCCCACCAGTAATTCAGTCAGGAGATAGCACCCCAGTGACTTACATCAGCAAATTACTTGGCATGTGGGGGTGGGGAGATAAAAATCTCTGTCCTCCTGCCAAATGCTCAACCTTGGTGCCTTCTACCTGCGCAGCTGTTAGCCCGACCTACACTCCCCTTCAGCCAGGTCACCTCGTGGCCTCCAACTACCTCCTTCGTCTCTCCCCATAAGAAGTGACTACTCCAGGGTGGGCTTTGGGACTTTAAGGAGATCTCCTCGGCTGGCCCCAGCTCCTTGTTCTCAGGCAGGAGACAGTGCCTGCAGTCCCACCATCAGCACCAAGCTGGGTCGCACCCGGGTTGAGTGCTGGGGTCCAGGGCTCTCAGCAACACCCTGCCCACCCGCCTGGCTGGCTGCCTCGGGCTTCATCAGGTGATGTATGGCCCACTGGCCCTGCCAGGAAGCGACAGCAGATGGATGGGCAGTGCCGAGGGGTGGGCTCTCAGCCAGGAACAAGGAGCAGGGAGGGGGAGGTGCCTGGCTCTGGAGAAAGCCGTTCCCGGAAGGCCACCCTCCCTGACCAAGGGCAGGACGGGGAGTACTGGAGTTGTCTCCGGCATGGTTCCCACACTGTGGCCCTTCGTGTGGGGAAATGCAGGGAACTGGGGGGCTCCTGGATCCTCCTGACATTCCCTCAGGCCTCGGTTTCCTCATCTGTAAAATGGCAATGAGGCACCCACTGGGAGGGGGCAGAAAGGATAAACTGAGAGACTGCACACCAAGCACAACCTCAGACTCAGGGGTGCTCCAACCCCAACCCTGTGAGGCCTGGTGCCCTGGAGGGGTTGTCCCTACAACCCTGCTTCCTCCTTGCTGTATCTCCCCATCCGAGCCCTCCCTCACCTTCCCTCTCCTGGCCTTTGGGAGAAGCACACAGCCAGAGATGGACAGGACCTTGTCACATTTCTCCCTCCCATTTTTGACCTCCCTCCCATTTTTCGGAAGGGAACACTGATGTCTTGAGAGGAAGGACCTGCCTAAGGTCAGGTGAGAGGACTTGGCAGACACCTCATGGTGATTCCTGAAAGAAGCGTTCTCCCCACCATGGACCCGGGTGGGGTGCTGGTATAGCTGCCCACCAGGTAGGGAAGGACAGGCAGGACAGCTCTGGGCACAGGGAAGGGGGTGGGGGGTGGGGGGAGCGTTGCAGTTCCTGTGACTGAGTCAGGATGCGCCAGACGCCTCCGTGGGCTCTGTCTGCATCCAAGGAGACCAGGACACTGGGCGGACGAACAGCGTGTCCTTGCTGGCTGGCCTGGAGGAGGGATGGGGATTGGGGGTTCATTCTGGAAACCCAGGCTGCCTGCTGAGCTGGGCAGAGTCTCCCAGCATCTGTTCACCTGCCCTGCTTCCCAGAAGAGCCCAGACTCCACACGGGCCCTCAGTGGCCATGCACAGGCACAGACGTTTACAGACAGTTCTGGTGGCTGCGTGAGGTGGTGAGGCCATGCAGGAATGCACGTGGCCATGTCAGCCCAACGTGTGAGTTTGTGGCTGGGCATGGGAGCACACATGTGCTGGGGTCTGAGCACCTGGGGCCCGCGAACTCAGGGCTGGAGCACAGCTGGAGCAGACACGTTGTGGGCATGTCTGTGGTTCGGTGAACTTTGCACGTGTGGGCCTCTCCACACACGTGGGTATAGATGAGATGTGGGCATATACGGGTGGATGTTGGGAGAGACATATTCTCACTCTGCACCCACCAGGTCCTGCATAATCTTGGTCTCAGCTTCGGCCAAAAAAACCATGGTCAGTCCCCCATGGTCAGAAGGGGAAGCTGAGGGCAGCAGCCTGCCTAAGGCTGAAGGGTTTCCTGCCTGTAATTTCAGGAGAGAGACCCCTGCTCCATCCTCCACAGTGTGGGGCTCAGACAAGAAAAGACCCCCAAGAAGGGAGACAGGGTTGACCCTGAAGAAAGGCTCTGTAGCCAATCACAGGCTGGGAACACTATCCTGGAAGGTGCGTGTTGCTTTGGACTTGTGCAGAGTAGAGGCAGGGCACGGCCATGGATTCCCCGTGGATGGGGCCTTTGGGGTCACTCGGGGCACCCTCCGCTCCATATGGACCTACTGCTGACACTGGCCAATGGCAAGGACCTTTGCAAAGGAGGGAGCCCCAACTGAGGGTCTTGTCCCCTCTCTGAGCCTCTTTCCTCAGCTGTAGAATGGAGCTCCCCCCACCCTGACCCTGTTCGAGCGCTGGAGACACAAGGTCATCTCAGGGACAAGCGTGGTCCCAGCCACGCTTTCCTGCCAGTCTAGGAGGGAATGTGAGCCTGGGGCCGGAGGGAGAGGGGACTGGAGGGATCTGAGGCAGGGAGACAGACCTTCCTGCTCAGTTAGTGAAGGGATTTGTCATTTTAATGATGAGCTATTTCTTGCCTGGCTCCTGTCCGTGGCGGCAGGAAGGGACAGCTGCCGCCCTGAATGAGGCGGTGCCGGTGATGGTGGGGGGTGTCCTCAGACCAGAGGCCTGGTTGCTGGGGTTCGAGGGACCATGAGCTCTCACACAACCTTACCTTCAGCCCAGCTCTGCTTCTCTCTCCCTAAGTGACCTTGGGCAAGTCCTTTCTCATTGCCAAAGCTCGGTTTCCTCATCTGTAGAGAGAGTAGGGCTGACACTGTCAACCCCTGGCTTCCGGCCACTGAGTGCTGCCGGTAGCGGTCTTCCTGTCCCCCCACTAGGGCCCCCTTTCCTGCTCCTCAGTGTCAGCAGACCCTCGCCAGGCTGCCCTCCCTCGAAGCAGCAAGGTCTTTTGGAAGTGCCCACCTGGCTCCTCACTCCGCTCACCCAAACTGGCCTCACCCCATTCCCCAGCCTCTCCTGGCCCTGGGCCCCCTGTCTCCATGCTTTAGTCACCCTGACTCATTGCATCGCATACCTGCCCTTGCTCCCTTCCCCGCCTTAGCCACACCCTTCACACTGGTCCCTCGGACCTGGGTCCTCCTCTGGCTCTCATAGTCACCCTTTATTTGCCCTGTGACAACACTGGAGGGTGACAGCTTGTTTCCTAGTCTATCTTGCTTGCCCTGTGTTTCAGCACATAGTAGGCCCTTGATATGTTTGTTGAATGACTGAATGAGGGACCTCAGAGCTGCCCTCCTGACCCTGGAGCACAGCAGTAAGGATGCAGGTGGCCGCCACAGTGAGGGTGACCTGGCAGGCTGCCCATCCATCAGCCTGGCACTGCGCCTGACCAGATGGAGCCAAGCCCCTGGGGAGGAGAGAGGAGGGAAAGATCTATCACCCACTGGTTGGTCCAAGCATGTGTGGGCGTGTCACACCTGCCCCCCCAGCATCCTCATCCATCATGCTGTCCCTGGGACACTGGGCTGGGGTGAGCAGGCAGCAGCCCCTCTGCCAGGCTCCACAAGGCCGGGGGCTTCAGGAAGTCTGCAGCTATCCAGTGTGCAGGGAAACCGAGGCCTGAAGGAGGGAGGCAAACGTTAAAAGTGGAGATCGGGAACGAGACTAACCAGCACTTGAGTGACAGTTTGGGACTCACTTGTGTGAGCCTAGGTGAGTCTCCGGCCCCTGGAAATCAATGTCCTCATCTGTAAAATGGGGACACAGCTGTGTCCGTTGACCCAGAAGAGGAGAGGATTCAAGGAATCAGATTTGAGGCTCATGCCTGCCTCGCAGTCCCCACCAGGCTCAGGCTGGCGGAGGAGGAGGTAGCGATGTTTGGAGCAGCAGGGCCCGGGATTCAGGCAGGACTGGCTAATTGTCTGGGCCGTCAGAGGGGAAGGAGCCGGTGATGGATGCTCCTCCGGGCTAGAGGGGCTGAGGGAGGGGGTGCTGAGTGATGACCAGGCATGGTGGTGATTATAGCTCAGCTGTCCGACCAGCTGGCCAGGGGGACATCATGCCCCAAACTCTCTCAGCCCCCACACTGTTTGCTGGGAAGTCACTGCCTCCCTCCCCCTCTTCCTCCTTTTTTATTATAAAAACGAACACGTTCTGAGCCATCATCTCACCTGAATTGCACAACGGTCTAAGGAGTAGGGTAAGATTCTCGGCACTTCAAGATTCTCATTCCACAGATGAGGAAACTGAGACTCATTCATTCACTCAGCAAATAGGTACCGAGCACCTACTCCATGCCAGGCTCTGTGCTGGGCATGGGGGAGTCAGATAAGAAGGTTTCAGCCACCTGCTTGCAGCAGGCACTCTGGAGTGACAGGTGGATCAGTACTGAGTTTTGATAAGTGAGACTGTGAGTTTTGATAAGTGAGATGGTCCCTTTGGGTGGTGCGTGCTCCCTGGTGATTAGGGGGTGCTTGGTGCCAGGCACAGTGCTGAGCAGTTTATGTGCGTTGTCTCATTTACTCATCCAAGGCAGACATCAGTGACCCTGTTTTCAAGCTTTAAAAACTGGAGCTGAAGGGGTGCTATGACCTACTTGGGGACCCCCAGCTGGGAAGAGGCAGAGGCCACACCTGCACCCAGGACTTTCACCGTTTCTACCCCGCCAGGGCCCCACGGCTCCACCAGGGACAAGCTCAGTGAGGAGCTGCCAAGTGGGGGCATGTGAATGAATGAGCACATGTACCCCAAATGCAACCCCAACCCCCGCATCGCCTATTCATCCCCTGTGAAGGGCGAGGCCAGGCCTGGGATCTCCTCTCCTAGAATCTGACTCTGCCCCTGGACAGCCCTTCCCACACCTGTCATGCTCAGGGGCTTGTCCCCACTGCCACGTCCCCTCAAAGGGCCTGTGGCACACCCAGCTGGGAGGGGAGGACGTCTGTCCCTCTGCTCTGAGCTGGGCCTGACGGAGGGAATCTTCTCTGAAGCCGAGGAGCAGAATGAGCCCAGGTGGTAGGGTAGGATGGGGTTCAAACCCCAGTTCCGAGAAGTTACTTGGCCTCTCTGAGCCTCAGTCTCCTCCTGTCTCACATGACTGCACAGACTACATGGGGCTTGTGGTGCCACCAGGTAACAGCCCAAGCGGGAGCTGCTGCCATGAACGAGGGCTGGTGTGCACAGTGGTGAACGCGGCCCTCCTGGGACTGCGGGGATGACGGAGGCAGAGCGAGAATGTCCGGGCCAACACCGATCAGCGTTCTAGCACTGTGTCCTCAGTGCAAGGGGATGTTGTGGCCCTGGCCTCGGCAGACGGGGTCAGTGCTGGGCTGAGGGGTGGGCCCGCCCTCCTGGGCCAGGCAGTGGGGTGGACGGGGCCAGGAGGAGCTGAGGGGCTCAGGCCAGGGCTGTGCTGACCTACCCAGCAGAGCAGAGCCGGCTCTAATGAAGGGGGCTAGCCTCGGCTGGACTGATTTCACGTCTGGGTGGCCACCTCCCGGCTGGTAAATGTCACTGGAGAGAGCAGCGGTGGCACCTGGCATGGACGCAGTCTTAGGCAGGCTGCCGGAGGGGCCAGGTGCCTGTGGAATGCTGATGCCAGCTGGGGACTCCAGACCCTCTAGACCCCTCCCAGTCCCGAGCGGCTGTGCCCAGTCCCAAGAGCCTGAACCCCAGTGCTGGGAGGATTCCCCAAAGGGCCACATCCGGCCCCTCTCTTCATGATGATGGGCTGGGGGGGTGTTCAGGGTGGTCTGGAGAGGTGCCCAGTTGCCCATGGTGCAGAAATGGGAGGTGGGAGAACCCCTCCTGGCCCATGATGGCCCGTTTCCCCAGCTGTCTCCTCTGCCAGTAGCTCTGTAACCCAGCGGCCGGCTCCTTCAGTGAACTCGCTGCGGCCCGCACTGGTCAGACCCTGGTGCCGTGATCCAGTTCAACCCCGTGATGACCTGTGGTGGATGGGAAGTGAGTCCGGCGTGTGGGAGAGGAAGGTGAGGGTCGAGAGCCCAGTCTCCTCTGAGCAGCCCTGGGGGTGCGCCTCCACCCCCTTCCAGCTCTGCTGTGCCACTCAGAGTCCCTCTCTCTGCCTAGCTCCCCACCCCCCAGAAGATGGGGCCTGGCCCCTCCTGTCTGCCCTACTTCTTCCTCCCCTTCCCTAGCTCCTGGGATCACCAGCAGGTGGGGGTGCCACTGGTCCACTACTCATCTTGGACTCTCAGCCCCCCTCAGCTACTGAGCCCGTGGGAGTCGCAGGGAGGGAGAGGGGCTCATGTCCATTCCAGGTCTGCACCCAGGGGAGGAGCTGGGCCTCCAGAAAGACTAGAAGGCAAGTGGGTGGAGGACCAAGTGATGAGCTACTGCCCCACACGGCGTGAGGTGACTAATGACAGTCCTGGTGCCAGGGGTCAGGAGCAGTGCTCTCGGGGCAGGCACAAAGCAGCCACTGAGTCAGGTCCACCTGTAATACTGTGGCTTCCCCTTGGCCTATGGGAGCTATCTCTGAATTATCTGCATCTCTCGGCCCTCTTCTCTGCTTAAGGCCGTGTCTTCCCCACCACTGCCTTCCTGGGCCTCTCCACCTTGTGCCCAGCATGAGCTTGACAAGTGGGGCCACTGAGTTTGGGCTGGAGGGGGCTGTCCCTGGAGCCTGCTGGCCTCCTGGAGTTGGGGGGCAACTCACAAGCCAGCCAGCCTTGTGGGGGAAGATGCTCGCTTCCCCTGGAAGCTGCTCCCTGCTCCCGCTTCTTGGCATTTCCGGGACCTTCCTATGTGGGGCAGGAGTCCTGGCATCCCCAGCTGCCCCCCCTCCCCCATGGGAAAGAGGAGGGAGGAGAGAGAAGCCGTATTAATAAAAGAATAGGATGCTGCAACGAACTCCGAAGCATGTGCAGCTCAGAATAGCAATGTGCTTTCTCAAGGCAAACAGAACTCCCCAGGTGTTAATGCAAATTCACTCCAGTTAAGATGAAAGAGGGCTGTTTCTCCCTTTGCTGGCTAATATGAAGGACTTAATAGATTCAGCCTCAGGAGCTGTGGATGGGAGGGGAAGACTGGGGGAGGGACCTGGAGTGGGCAATAAAGGGAGGTCCCTGTGGGTTTTAGGGCGGAGCCACTGTCACCAGGCCTGGTCGTTGGTACAGCACATGCCACCCCATCCTCTACCTAGAAGAGGGGGCGGGGTGAGGCTGGCCGTCCAGGCAAGGCACCTGGTTCTAGTCCAGCTTGTGTCTGTGGCTGCCCCTGGGTCAGTCAGTCCTCTTTCAGCTCCCTGGACGGTGATGCTGGTCTGACGGCACCTGGGAAACCAGTTCGAGGAATTCCTTTAGAAACATGACATTTGAAGATTGTTGGAGCAGGAAGGGGCCTCAGAGTCCAAATCTGACCTTTACAGCAGAGGACATGGAAGCCCAGACAGTGGGAGGGACTTACTCAAAGCCACAGGTGATGCAGAGAGCTGTGGGGACCAGAACCCACAGCCCGCTCCTCTGGAGTGCAGGCTGGAAGCCTGAGTGGCTGTCGGTGGGACTCGGCCCAGGTGGCTCTGCCATCATGGAACCCCTTCCTCCCACAGGGGAGCCCTTCTCCAGCCCAGGGGCCCTGGGCTCAGCAGCTGCTCCCAGAATTATCCTCCACTGAAAATTACACACGGTGCAAGCCGGGCCCTTGTAGGGGAGGGTGGGGGTACACCCTGCACGGGCTGGGCTGCTGGGCTGCGGCAGGTGTGTGCTGGGGCCCCAGGCAGATGCCTCAGGCCTCAGCTGGGGATAAAAGGAGACTTCAGGGAGATACGGGGGAGGGTGGGTGGGAGTGAGGCTGTCCCCACCGGACTACTTAACTCCTCTCTCAGGACAAATGGCACAGCAGGTGCCCTGGAGAAGCCCCTCCTTCGTAGCTGTCTTCACTTTTGTTTACTGACTTAATTCCTTCAGATCAAAGGCTGCCCCTTCCTCCCCTAACAGGCAGGCAGGGGAATTACATTATTTATATTGGAAATGGGCAGGACTCCACAGGGACTTCTTCCTTATGCCTGTTAAGAGAAAATTAGGTCACTGCTGTGCCTCCCTGGTGTCTGCGGTTGGGTTTTTACAGCCCGGGTACCCACGGGCTCTGGGAGGAGTTCCAGGTGCAGAGCCGAGCGCGGCCCACCCAGCCCCTCTCCCACCCTGAGCCTCCAGTAAATTATTGACCGGAGCAGCGAGTATTAATGTGACAAACCAGAACATCCTTTCCAGGCAGCCCCAGCCTGGGTTATCTATCATCTCCCGGGCTTTGCAGCTGACACTGGGCAAACACAGGCAGGACGAACAGGCCAGATGTAGGCTCATTAAGCTCCTGGTGCAGGTGGAGGGTTGGGGCCCGCGTGGGGGCCGCTGGTGGGCTTGGTCCTCCTGCGCCAGGGCTTGCTCTGTGTCCCCACTGCCCTTTTCTCCCTTCCTCTTGCAGCCTCAAAAGCCCACCTCAAGGAAGCGTCCAAAAAAAGAGCCATCATTCTCAGACCTGGCATTATGAACCCTCACAAAGCCCTATGGAACTCTGCTTTTAGATTAAGAAACTGCTGTGCCCAAAGCTTAGTAACTTGGCAAGGATCACCCTACTGCAAGTGGTTGAGCAGGGCTTTGAACCCAGGTCTTTCTGGGTTACATCAGGAAGGGCCCTGAGCCCCTCATCCATGTGGTTTCCTCAGCCCTCCTCAGGGCTGGGTGTAAAGAAAAAGATTTCATGTTTCTTCGTGCCCGCTTGTAAATAATGGGAACGCCGCTACCTATCCTCACCCCTTTTTCAGAGAAATCTGAGTACTTTCTGCATCTGTCCTTCCTGTTATCCTGACAACGTTCCAGAGGTGCCCAGAAGCATCGCCGTCAACCTCTTTACAGAGAGGGGAGCAGGTTTGGGGAAGCAGGGTGTCTGGCCCTGCCGGGAAGGGGGTGGCACCCAGCAAGCATGCGGCTTAGGAACCAGCCGGGTGGGCTCTTGCTGCTCCGACAGTGGAGGTCTTCAGATGTCTTGATTTCCCGGGCTCAGAGGCAGCATGCTGGGAGCTATTCTGGGGCTAGCATCCCACTGAGAAATAGGCGCCTAGTGGAAACTGGGAGAGGACATGGTTGGGGTTCCTCTGAGTCGGCTCAGGACCTCGTGGAGCCGATGAATGCCCGGAGCTGCCTGCTTATCCGCGAGTTCCGGACTCCTACCCAAGCTGGGACGGAGGCCGCAGCATCCTGCCATAATGCAGCAATGACAGGCTGCCAGGGAGCCCCGGGAGGGGACGGAGCCGGTGGTGGCCTCTCAGCTGCTTGAGCTGTCTGAGAGGGAGTTGGAGAATATGCCGATGGCTCGACTTTCTCTTCCCGAGACGTGCAA